CGTCTTCAGCTGCGTCTGCGGCAATTGTTGTTACGAATATGTTGTGCGTGCTGGTTTCAGGTCATTACATACACGAATCTCTGACGGCCGGCGTTTTATGTGCGAGAGCAATTCGCCTTCAGCTGCGTCTGCAGCAATTGTTGTTACGAATATGTTGTGCGTGCTGGTTTCAGGTCATTACATACTCGACTCTGTGAAGGCTTTTATGTGCGCAAGTGGCGTACCCTGTTGGAGAACTGGCGAATTGCTCTCGCACACGAAACGCCTTCAAAGAGTCGAGTATGTAACTACCTGAAACCAGCACGCACCGCATACTAGTAACAACAATTGCCGCAGACGCAGCAGAAGGCGAATTTTTCGGTTAAAAAAAAAGAATGAAAGGAAGTGTGCGCGTAAAGAGAGGGCATGTATTCGATCGACTTGATTCGAACAAAAAATAAAAACGTGAACCGATCAACACCGATTTAATGTACAAATAAATAAAAAGTGGATCAAGATCAGTAGAAAAGTTGCATTTACTATGAAACTTTCAAAGCGCGTATTTCGAAAATAGCACTAGCCAAGATTTTGATTTTTCGCGATTTTAAGTGTGCACGTACCATGGACTCACCTCGAGCAAACCATTTTGGGTACATTTTTGTCGCATTTTTTTTTTTTGTTTTTTTTCTTTATGCTTCAAAACCACTGTGAAGGGACTCATGCGGAATTTGAGATACACCCTTACGCCATAGGAGCAACGAATTGGACCAAGTTCAAAAAGTAAAATGGGAGCGGAGATTTTTGAATACCGCAAACTATATACGTGGCTTAGGAGTTTCATCGTCAAAATGTTCCTCCCCAGCCCCTAATCCAGGACCGGATTTAGGGGGTGGTCACATGTGCCGCGGCAAATTTTGCAGATTTTCAAATTTAGGTATAAAAAAAAACGGATTCAGAAAAAAAAATTAAAAACGAGAAAAGGCGACAAAATCTCTCATTTCTTGAGAGTTAAAGTATACATATAGTAATGAATTTTTTGCGTTGAATTTGTTCGTCTTTCAGCGATACAAGAGACAGCGCCTTTCATTGGTATAGTTGAGAGAGAAACCAAACACGCAGTTTGGCCTGGAGCGGCGCGGCGCAAAGAGCAATGATGACGAGGATTTGAGATGAAAAGGAGAGGCCCTTCGCGCGCCGCGCCAGTCAGCATGAAACACAAATAGCGCCTACAAGACTCCCCGAATACTTCACGCATTGCGTCAAACGCAGTGCGGTCAGCAGCGGTTGGCGTGAGACTCATAGTGCCTACAAGCACTGCAAAATCCCAAAAGATCAGTTCAGACCAAGTTCAGCAGGAACTTACCAGTTACCATGCCGTATTTTGAAAAGAGAAGAGTTTGAAGTAGTTTAAAACCGAGAATGTTAGGGAATTCAAGTGTCAACCGGGGAAAATCATGGAATTCTAGGGAAAAGTCAGGGAATTTCAGACGCATGTACTAATCACAGAAATATACCACTCATTTTCCAACTGTTTACCCTTTTTGGACTTTTTAAAGGGTAGTCTCTTTTAACCAGCCTCTGAATATGCTTTCTTTCATCTTTTGATCCCTAAACAAGGAAATTTTGTCCAAAGTTAAGCGAAAGCCAGTTTATTGGTATTGAAAAAGGAAATTGAAGGGGGAAGTGGGAATTGTGTTCAAAGGTCAGGGAAACCCAGGGAATTAGAACATTTTAGAGTCAAGGGAAAGTCAAGGGATTTGAAGATGAAGAAATTAAGGCAACCCTGGAAAAATGATGCTTTTGGGGGAAAATTTTTCAGTCCTAAAGGGTTCAGCCTCCCTAGCCTCGCGGCTGCGCAATTGGACGTATTTCTATCAAACGGAACTATGTGCATTATGTCGTGAGCCCTGTTATGCGTGTACTCTTATGGGTCTCAGGGCTCATGTCTTAATACACATAGTTCCGTTTGATAGAAATACGTCCAATTGGAGGTATGTTTTAATTTTCATTGTTCTCATGTTCATGTTCATAGTTTCATGTTCTGAGCATGGTGTCAATCGTGGTTGTCGCTGACACCATGTTCAAGCTAATACTTCCTCGAGACAATGACAGAGGTGCAGAAAGTTCTTCGGCACACGCAGTTCCGAGCAACCAGGGATTCAGCCTACGCATTTTGACATTGCGCGCTCGGAGTAATTTTCGAAAAATTCAACGAGATCGCAGTACTAATATTTTAAAAATTCATCTCTTAAATTCCTCAAATTTTCGACGCTTTCGCAGTAATTTTGCGAAAATTCAACACATACATTTCACAAATTCGTTTTCAAAAAAAAAGAACGCATCTGCAGTAATTTTCTCAAAAATCAAACGCTTTTGCACGATTTTTGGAAAAATCGATATACTTGCCGTGAGTTTTTGTAAAAATCAATGCGTTGATTTTTCACTCATTAGAATAAAACATATTTTTTTTCATTCGTATAACCGGACGTTCGGTTCAAGTACTCGAGCTACCTCCAGCAGCTCCTGTAATCTCATTACTTTGGTAACACTTGACAAACTGAATAGTTAGGATGACATAGATTACACGTTTTCCTTCATTTTGCGTTTATGCAATTGTATCTTCTTGGAGGTCGAAACATTTTTACCACGTGTTGTAATGCACGGAAAAAATCGAATGTAGATTTAGCATTTATACCGTTAAAAAAAATGTGCTACAAGTATCATATGCTGATTTTACATAAAAAAAATTGCTACTTCAGCATTGAATTTGTTCATTGAACAGTGGGCTTGGTTAACCTAGTATCAGTTTCATTGTAAAATAAGCATTCATACCTGTCGCACATTTTTGGAACATTATAAATGCTAAAGCAACATTCAATTTTTTTCCGTGTGGGGGGGGGTGAAAAGATCCAACGCGCGTAGTCAAATGGTAGAACTGATCAATATAATCGATAATGACACGTTAGACACAGAATACACTTGGCTAAGGTGATCTTATTATTCACTGCCTCGATGATACGACCCTGCGCCGCGGGCCTCTCAGAGTAGGTATACATCAGTGGCGTGGCGTGAATTGCGATGTATCGATTGTTATGCCATTTAAACCTCTGGTAAAGAATCGATTATTAAGGCGTTCGCTGCGAACACCCTGTTTATCGATCCTTTTCCATAGGTTTAAATGCATGGCCCTGCATCCAAGGCATTGGATGCATCGTAAGAAGAGCGAACATAGATCCGTAGTGATGTGGCACGCCTCTCTATGACAATGTTTCGCCCCTTGCGACTTTTCTACTCATGCGTTAAAGTTTCTGAGTTAGTCGCAAAAGAGTTCACGGTCGCCTTCATTTAGCACGTATGCAATTGTACCTACTTGGAAGTTGAAGTCACGCGTATTGCCCTTTCCAACTTTTCTACACTTGCGTTAAAGTCTCCGAGTCAGTCGAAAAAGGGTTCTCCTTCATTTTGAGGACTTGCAATTTCACCTGCTCGGAAGAAATAGTTGTATCAGTTATCGCGCGTTCCAAGCGCAAGACTGAGATTCGGAAATTGAGTTTCGTTCACCTTGAATGTTCACTCAATAAGCTTAGAAATTTTTAAAATTAACATAAACATTAATTAAAATTACATTACACACACAATTAAAATTACATTTAAATTAAATTTGAATTAAAATTAAATTTTTTATTCAGGCTCCGCGATTTTAATCGCATAGAACTAGCTCCACTGTGTAGCCTGACTAAGAGTCTCACAAAAATCGATCGAACAGGGGCCGAGATAGCATTTTCGGCCACAATCACATCTCGGATTTTCAAATTTTGAAAATTTGAGTTGAGATTCAAGTTTTCCGTGAGAGAATGCCATCTAGTATCAACTCTCACAAAAATCGATGGAATAGAAGCCGCATATCATATGATCAGTAGGACTTTACACAGTGGTAAACGGTACTAGTTAATTTACATACGGCAGTGCGCCTTCATTTTCGTCTGATACTGTGCAATACTTCTGTGGTGGAATAGTTGCTCAGAGCGCCTTCATGAGTATAGCTTCGACTTGATGACAGAAGGTCATGATTGCCGCTGATATTACCCTGTAGCGCGTGTGCCATTACACATTTTGCTAACGCCGACGATATGAGGTAAAGGAAATTCATACCTGAATTTTTGACGTCGCAAATTTTCCACCATTAATGGGGAAATATCGATAATACAGATCACCCACGCATCGCCACTGATACGCCTCTCACTGATTTGACCGAGGGATGATAAAAGCGGCCCCACGTAAAGAGTTTATGACACAGTTGCCAGATAGTACTAAAAATCAGCATTTCCCCTATTCAAACGCACTTACCAAAAATGTCCACTTCCACTTCAGTTTTTTTTAAAATAATCATGTATTGACTTGGTTGTTTGAAGTTAAATGAAAGTTATACATCATTTGTAAATTTTGCAGGCAAATTGATTTAACCTTACTACATTTTTCATCTGTTGCATTTTGTACCTAAACATGTGTTTGATGAATACAAAAGTTTAAAAAAAATACATTTTTAAATTTATATTTGACAGCGATGTATAAATATGATACATTTCATTGCACAATCTGGTAACTTTGATTTCTGATTTGGAGCAGGTGCTGAATACAGTTAGAAGATGCATTCCTCATATGCAAGGTGATCCAAGGCAGTGGCGATTTTGAAGGTAGACAACGCTGCTTTTCCTCAATTAAAATCCATTAAAAATATCGATTTTAGGTGAAGCAAGTTGTCTCACTAAGAATCGATTGTTTTACATGCATTCAAATGTATGCGAAAAACAGTGTTGTCAACTTTCAAGGATCACCACTGACTCAAGGCTAAACCGCCGAACTGCAGAAGCGTGCACTGGGAGTCAAAGAACTTTTTTCTTCCATAAAGTGTTTTCCTAAAGTGCTGTTTAAGGGGCTACAATTCTGCTGAAGTTCTGGGAATATAAACCTTCTTCCCTGCACTTTGGGAACGGTTATGCACACAATCTAATCAAAGTGGCATGTACAATTGGTACCATCCATAATTTGATACGCTCATTTCGTTTGTGACATTATAAAACCCGGAATCTCAGATAAAAGTAGGGTTTGAGGGGGGGGGGGGGACCACCTTCATACACAAAAAAAAAAAAAAAAAAAAAAGTTATTTAAGTCCAAAGAGTTTCTAATGAGTTCAGCGTATCAAATTATGAGCGCACATTAATGTTCTTGAGATTCACTGCAGGAAAAATGCAGGAACAACGATTGATTTCCCAGAACTTTGGAGGGAAGGGCTGTGTCCTCCTTACAAAACACTTTCGGAAAAAATTTTATAGGAGTTTAAAAAGTAAATTTCATACTCGTTGACCCATAGAACAGGCTCCTGCAATCTGGAGGTACAACCGTGGATCTGTATACAAAAAAGATCTTGAAAACAGAGGCGAAAATTAACTGATTGAAAAACCATGGCAATGAGATAAATAGAACTTCTGATCCGCCACAAATGTTAATAATGCCAAAAAAACACTCAAAAAATGAGTGCTGATATTAAATAAAGTTTTTCTGATAAACATTTCATTTCGACCGGAAAAGAATGACGATGCAAGCACAAGAAGGACTGCTGGTAAGTGCCATTCAGTCACAACAAGCACGTGAACTTTATTTAAAAATTATTTTAGTCGGCCCTAATATTGGGTCTTTGCTTTATACATAGTCGCCCATAATTTTCCATTTTCTTATCTTTTTTTAAATTTTATTGCAAGGCTTCTCCCTCTTCTTCTTTTCATTTTGTAATGTCCCTGGGGGAGCTGATGGCATTAGATGATGAGATTGTGCTGGTTGAAGTAAAATTATTGACTCGTTTTCAATCCCATAATCTGATAATGGACGAGAATGTTCCAGACAAACATTTTCATGCTTTAACCAAAATATGCATGTACTCGTAAGTAAAAGATCGGAATTCGTGGTGACTCCGGTTCTTGTCGCCGCGGAGGGTTGATACGGTGTACCTGTATAAGCGTATGGGGAAGCGTATTGCGGGCCAGGGATATCATCAGCGGGAAGAACGGGATACGCAGGGTACGATTGTCTACCATGATGATGTGGAAAATGTGTACCGTGACGCGTGACATCATCCCTGCGTGCCGCACGGTCTTTTATATTCTTTCGCAACTCTTCAACTGTGTCTGAGCAGTTTATGTGTACGTAGAAAGTTTCTTTCGACCTGTCATCGTGGATCAAAATTTTGATTCTGGAAAGCATCAAAAATACAATCTTAATAGGTAGCCAAATATATGTAGGTAGCTTTTAATAAAAACTTTAAAAAAAAAAATTAATAAAAAGTCGCTCTGTACCACCACCCCGCCGAAAATGGTGAGTACAAATGAGTAGAAAATCAAAGTCATAAGAATAGGATTTCAATTCATATGAATATAATTTCAACCCATATGAATAGAAATTCAGCTTATATGAATAGAATCTAACTCGTATGAGCAGAATTTCTCTATTCACTTTTAGCCGACTCATATGACTAGAGATTTCAACTCACATCAGTTATCAGCGTTGAATCTACCATGTCCGATATCTCAGAAACTAGTCACCGCATCAAAAAAAATTATAAGGACAAAATGTTCTTATTTTTCAAATTTGCATATGATGTCAGTGTCTCCTGGTCAAAAACAGCACTTCTGAAAAATGAAAAAAGTTGAATTCATATGAGTTGAACTTGTCTACTCTTATGAGTAGAATATTCTAGTGATATGAGTAGGATTTCTACTCATATAAGTAGAGGGTTCTACTCATGTGAGTCGGCGATTTCTGAATAGTCTACTCGTCATTTTTGGTAGGGTGTATGGAAATGTTAATTATAAGGGTGTTCGGCACAGGTTTAAGGCCGTAGCTCACTTTTCCGGAGTTTCACATTGACTTTTGCTCTTCCTCGTGGTCCAGATGTAGATAATTCTGGCCTTATAGTGACGCAATCATCGATAACCTATATTCATCCTACGTAAAGGTCATTGAAAAATTTTTGTCTCTAAGTTTTTAAAGAAATCGCCAGAGTACTAAGGCTATTATACAAAATATTTTTCCAAAATTGAGAGGCATCGACAGGGCATGGACGGAGTAGAATTAGGTAAAAACGGGTTCGAAATCGAGATTTCTTTAATTAGGTTCTTTTACTGCATTTGAGACTCAGTGCAAGAAGAATATTAAGGTTAGTCGGATTGGTGCGGGTGACTAACCTGCCTAGAGGCATCCCTCAGTTTTACGAGTTGGTGGAACGAGTTCAGCATACTTTCATTTTTTAGGTTTATTCTTGGGATTTTTTGAGCTTATTCTTGCGAATCTACTCAGTTTGACTCGGTGCCTACGATCGCCAACCTGCGCAGGAAATGTAAGCTTCTTCAGTGTCATGCCTTAACACCTTCTAAATCTAATTGATTGGCTACATAGTCGAACATCCATGAATTTGAATTTTCTCAAAAATACTAGAGTTTCTTGCTTTGTCTAATATTTTTGGGATTAGAGTAAGCTAGCTTAGGAGCGTGGGAGCAACAATCTGAAACCTTTATAGACGGACTCCCTTGCAAGAATATTGAGGTAAATAATACTTACGATTTCTGGAAACGAGGGAGTGGTCTCAGGTTTTCAGGTCTCGGCTTGGAAATCAAGTATGTAAGAATTGATAGTTCCTCCTCAATGGAAAGGATGCCTGAGTTACTAACAATCTCTGTAAACTCTTTAGGAGACATCAATTTGAACCGGATCAACGGCAGAGCCGGCTCCAGAACTCGCCTCATATTTTTTATGTTCGTATCCAAGTTTTGTCCTCGGCATTCAAGTTTTGCCCATCTGTAATGAAATTTCACGTAAAAATATAGATTGCTAATTTTACAACGTTAAATTGTTAGAAAATATGTCCAACATATTTCAAATGAAAATTTTAAAATAGTGGGAAGCTAATTAACCCACGGGGGTGGTTGCATTAGCTATTTTTTATTGTAAAATCTACATTGATACATGTCGGACACTTTTCCTGACTACAAAATTGTTAAATCAGCAATAACATTTTTTTCCGTGTTCAAAAAGCGCTAAATCAATAAAGTCGGAAAAACGTTTCTTCATAAATTCGAAGCTTTTGTGGGTCATCAACATATTGATGGCTATAAAGTGCGAAACTGCGTTTCTCCATTGCGGTGTTTCAGAGTCCCTGATCCAATTTTACTCTCACGAAAAGAAACAAGACAACTATTTGGCTTGAAACTACAAAAAATTCTAATAATAGGGAAGAAAAGTCAAGGAAGTTTTCAAGAAGTTGACTAGTTTTCCAGGGAAAAAATAAAGTACGACCCGAAGTTAGCAACGTCGCAAACGAAGATATGTGGTTTCGCACTTTGGTCATCGACATCGCAGCATTTTACTATTACTTGTAAATACCTGGACTTAATGAAGCTCTTGCATGTGTCAGGAATTGGCAATTTCAGAGTACTGATTCCTATGCTGAATTTCGCGAGAAACACAATGGTGCCACTTGTTCTCTCTGAAACAAAATCCAAAGCTTAAAAAAGGATCTCACAGTTGAGGCTGTAAAAGAAGGGTCGCTACCTTGAGAGTCCACCTCTATATCAAGACAAATTGTCCATGCAAAGATAGGGATCTAATGCATTAGCAGGGTTGCCACTTTGTTGGGGGACTCCAAACTGAAAACACGGCAGCCCTGCCAATGCATTTGCTCCCTATCTTTGCATGGAGAGTCGGTGTTGATATAGCGGTGAACTTTCAGGGTGGCTTGGGATATCCTCTCCATTACGGCCTCAAATTTGAGAAATTTTTTTGAGGTATGAAGTTGATTTTAGAGAAAACCAGTGACATCATCAATTTTGCCAACCAAGCAAGAGAAATGTACAGAATGAAGATAGAGGTTGATAATGACATCAGTTTTTGCAAAGACTATCCGTTTCTCTGATAAATTGATTGTGCGGACCATTGAGAGTAAAAGTATCTTCGGATGATGATGATAATGTTTGTAGGATCTCCAAAATGGATTTACTATCACCAGACACCCCATTCGCCCTCTAAAAGCAATGAATTCAACTAAATACTTTTTTTTTTAAAAAAATCTAATAATTTTTCATCAACATATCTTAACAACTTTACATTAACGGTAGAATATGTAGTCCACGAACCCGAGAATTGATTTAAATAAATCAACTTCTTCGATTTCCAATTTATCCCTTTCCAGGATGCAGCAGATAGTTTGTATGTCAAGGTCGTGAAAACAGAAATTGAATTCGTCGTTATGCGGGCAGTTAAATATTGCAGTGGTTGCCACCGTGGATAATTTCTCAAAGCAGAAGTTCACGAGATCTGTCGCTCCTAATTCTCTTGCCTGCAAAAAAGTAACAAAAATGATATAGCGGAGTCTGACACCGAATAAGTTAGCTAATGCTTAAGAGATACAAAATGAAGATGATCTTTCGATTTATCCGCTTCAATCCTCAGCCCTTGTCATGATCGCAGTCAAAGTGGGGAGGGGGTGGCTGATGAGAAACATATTATATTACATATAGTTTGCGTTCAAATGTGTTCTATTTACCTGTGGATGCATCTTATTTTAATTTGGTTCGAAATCAACCAGGCCTGGGTGGTAATCCTAATCGGTTTCATCCCAGGAAAACTAGTTACGTATAAGATGTTTGCCAATTTGAAGAATTGTTTAACGTTTGCGATCGTATTAATTTAAAATGGACATCCGTAGCCAAACCGGATGGATAAGCAATCGTTTTCTACGGAAAAACCATTCCTATGTTTTGGCAGATGATTTTATGACCGTGTAAAGGACAGAGAATTGTTCGAGGAAATCCACGGTGAAATCTGATGACTTTATTTTGCACATGTTTCGAGGATGTACTTATGTGGATATAAGCAGCCAAATCAGACAGACACGCAATCGTTTTGCCGCGGAAAAATCAGTCCGCCTTCACGGTAGTCGATGTGTAACTATTCAAAATGGGATTTTTTTTGCCGAATCAATGCGGTCAGGTACGTCAAACTTGATCATCTTTAATTGAACGCACCTAAGGTTCCTTTGCAAGTAAAAAAAGCATGCTTTTGACTCAGGAGTAAAGAAGGTGTCATGGCGCCAATAGCTTTGAACGGTCACGCAACGCAAAATTAGAGTGTCTTGACACTATTCCCATCAAAAGTTCCAAAAAGTTTTCAAATTTTAAGAAGGCTAGTATGTCTCGCAACTTGTCGGAAAATCATTTTTAACAGTTGGTTCAACCCAAAGAACTGTTTCAAACCCTTTACAACGTCACGTTAGTCACTGCAATGCAGAATATATGGTAAACTAATTTTTGTCATACTCCAGTAATTTGGGCCAAAGTCTAATCCCCCATTTTTACCGCCCGGGGCTCAAAACAGTTGTATTAAATTGCATTATTGCATTCTTCATGGAATAAAATAAAATCGACCACTTGCAATTTACTTTCTGGAACAGTGGTGATAGTTGAAAGTTGGAATTTTAGGTTTTCCATCTGGTCCCATTGAGGTCCATCTGGATGTATGCAAAACGATCGACTTTAAGCAAAACAGACTGCCTCACCGAAAATCGATATTATCAATGCATGTAAATGGAGAAAAAAAACGTTGTCTACCTTCAAGAACCATCTTTGTCGGTAACAGGGAGTGCTTCCCATTGAAATCTCAGATTTAAATTTTTCAAATCACATAGGGTCCGTCCCAAAATTACGTAAAGCACTTTTTCGGCATTTTGACCGCCCTCCTTTTTACCTCCTCTAGCGTTTTTGTGACGTAGGCCTCTATTCTTAAACACGTAAAAACAAAATGGCGTAACGCTCTCCTCACCCCCTCTCTCCATAGAGCATTACGCAATTTAGGGACGATATAGATAAAATCTCCCCCCCCCCAAAAAAAAAAAAATTCAAAGAGATAAAATCTGCTCTCCTAAAACCTTAACTCTACGCATCTAGGTTTCTTTTCATCTAAATGCTCACGTAATACACAAATTCATGAGCAAGAAAGATAAACTTAAAAGGTGTTCTAAAAAAATGTTTCTTTCACTTAAACTTAAAGTACAATCGATTTCCTTACTTTAAATAGGTAATAACAGAGATTTGAGGGCGTTAAGGAAATCTTCAGAAAATGAACACACATTTTTTTGAGTGCCTCTACATCATATTTGTCTGCAGCGTATAAAAGTGACCATATTACATCTTTCCTGCGATTAACTTTCTCACAATATATGAATCTGCAACATGACAATAAAAATGCAACACAAATTGTACATGTTAAATAAAGTAATATAAAGATGCAAACGTCCTTAAGAGAGGAAGCCATAGCCCCTTGATGCGAAATGTTCAATGAGACAGTTGTTGTCAAGCTGGGTCGAAAAATGGGTTGTGGAAACTCCGACGGAAAGCAATGTTTAGTTCCCCAGAGACAAATTTGCGATTGATATATTTAATTTTTATTGTATAGTTGGACGTAATTCAACAATGTCCGTCGGAAAAAACCATAATGAAAATTGTTGGCGTAATTTGCAAATATAATGCATTAAGTTTCGAGTCTTGGTAGTTCTAAACTTAAGTCCTCAGAGAATCGGGGGGAGGGAGGAAGGGGATACGGGTTTATTTCATCCGTTTATGCGATATGCAAATGCAACGAGCAACAGTTGTCACCGGTTGAAAACGCCTTCAGTTTCGCGTGATACTCCACCGCCAACACCGGAGTTAACACATTTGTATCAATAATACAGGATTCATTAAGTGTCCCAATTTTGGGACCTTTCAATCGCTTATCGAACATTCATGAAATGCTGTCTCTTATTTAGTCGGATTGTGTAATAATCTGGCAGTTTTGAACCCTGAATGTAGCAAATCGAGGATGGAACTGCAGAAAGACGCATCTCAGTTTGCAGCGGGGCTCGCCAGTTTCATTTTTGTCGAGTCGTATTTTCTGCGTGGAAAACTACTTTACTTATTTTTTTGAAAATTTCAGCAATTTTCTTCTCTATGTGAAGAATAGTCTGTGTAACTTTCAAGCGACAATGTTGGTTCGGTCTCTTATAAGATAAAATAGGAGCGGAGATGTTGAAGCACTGCAACCGAGGTACGCATTTTCGCAGTTTCACCGTCAAAATTAGACGTTTAAGTTATACATTTCCTGGAACTACGTTACCTGAACTACCTAGAAACTCCAAGGATCAATGAATTCAGTCTGATTTGACATATTTGGGCTATCTGATCCTAAGATTTCTTCCTTCTTAATTTTTTTTCGATTGAGACACTTTACCCAACAGCAAAATCCACATACACGTATTCCAATCTAATAATAAAAGTTTGCCTCTGAAATTTCATTCCTCCGTAGAGCTTTCATCGCCTTTGGGCCGGAGATTTTAGCTGATTTTCTCTATGTCTTCTTTTACGGTTAATAACGTCCAAGAAAGTTGGCGAGACGTCCCGTGTTTGTTTTTAATCGCTTTTCAGCCACGTTTTCCCGGTTAAGTTTTTAAAATCTTGCAACCAACTTTCGTTTAAAAAAAAAAACGAAAATCCCGAAATCAACTCCTTACGAAGAAATTAAATGATTCTTGATGCGTGAATTCAAACCACCCGCTCATGAAAACTCAATGCTATACGTGATTCACATCGCGCGCTAAACGTCATCATGACAGTCAGAAAGTGAGCGAGACGTCCCGTGTTTGTTTTTAATCGCTTTTCAGCCACGTTTTCCCGGTTAAGTTTTTAAAATCTTGCAACCAACTTTCGTTTAAAAAAAAAAACGAAAATCCCTCCTCCCTAAGCCGGGGCGCCAAAAACTTTTAGTTTTCACATTGACAGCAACGACGACCATACCCAAAAATTCATGAAAGGGGTCATTTTTGTTTAATAATTCTATTGGGTTTATTTACTTTAGATTCTCCTTTAGCTTGTATTGTAGCTGTTGTGATAAAGATTATTATTGGTGGAATCAATTTTTCTGTGATAGATAAGTAAATTACGTCTTTATTTAACTCTATAAATCATGATAACTCAGGGAGTTGCTCATCAATTTACATCAGGCGAAGCGCAGCGTTGAGATCCGAATTTATTTTTTGATAAACTCGATTTCATTCCTAAGATTATTCGTGCAGTGTCTCTAAATATATTATGTCTGCGAGTTGATTGTTGAAATAAATAGACAAAGCAATGGACAAAGAGGACATAGGGAGTATGGAGTTACTAAGGGGATAAATCATGGACTAACTATAGGGTCTCTCATGGGTTGCCGTTAGATAGTCTATTATCTCTACCTCCTTTGTCCATTGCAACCACCCGTGTCCACCAATAGGATCCCTCCACTTACCTTTTGTCTTCTTTGTCTATAGCTTTGTCTAATAATTTTAACAATCAGCCTGCTGATCCCCACGGTCGAATACGTAGAACATTTAACAAGATTCGTTTCTTGAATGTATAAAAACTGAGAAGAAGAGCAATAGGAAATGACAAAAGAAGCATTCCCTACCTGAGGAGTTCGTAGAAGGCATCCGGCTCTACATCAGGCACTGGAATATCACTTCCATCAGACGACCACCGTTCGCTTAGCATGGTTGCAAAAACTGAACTCCCGAGTGACAGGATACTCCTGATTGCTGGAATTCTTTTTTTTTCCGTCCCGACGATGAAACATACATCCGTAAACAGATTATCTCTCAGAGCAACTTCTAGCCTATCTAAAAGAGCACTCTTACGCCAATCTTCGCCATTGTTACCGACCACACCCCCAGTCTTCGAACCTGTTTTGGGATCAGTGTTTGGCATTGCTTTACTTTATAGCTATACTAGTGATGGCAGGCGGTGAGGATTTATCGGAGAAATTCTGGGGACAGAAAAACACGAATAATCCAACACGTGTTGGATGATAGAACTAAATATAAATGCTGCCGTGCCAAGGAAAAACGCCGTATGAGCTTTTAGATGTTGCCAAGTTTCCTCCGATAAAAATTGAATTTACTGAGAAAATTGTGAATATTATTCTCCACAATTTTCAGACCATTTTGTACGCAATTTAATCTGAAAATTTCAAGGGAAAATATGCATGAATGTTGTAAAAAATACATGTTTCATCAAGCGAAATTTGGCAACTCTCGAATGTTCATACGGCGTGTTTCCTTAAAACGGCAGAATATGACTGAAGAGGAAACAAGCGGGAAAGTTCTAATACTGTCGTATTAGAAAAGCGCTCAGGTGTTAGTCAATGTATTTAGTGAAGAAAGGAAGTATAAACTCCGTCGACTTGGCTGGGTAATGGAAATAAAACATCAGCTGATAGCAAACAAAGGTTACCAAGGAAACCGTAAACGCGTTTTTTCGTTTCCCGAAAATGATAGTCACCGTTGAGCTCATCAGGCGCGTTTTTTTAGGCTTCATTTGAGTTCAACGATCAATTTCGATAAGAATTACTCTACCGCTAAGAAATTTTCTTATAGACAAACGATCGAAACTACCTGCGCATTACGTTAAAGGCGTAAAATACGGTTTTCACAGCTTTATTTATTTTAAAACTGGATTCCCCTCCCCCCAGAAAAAAGCCTACACATCGATGAGCTGGTGCGCCATTTAAACGAATTAGCACCAGTATACTAGTACTCTAGTGGCAAGTCGAAATCAAAAAGCGCTGCTTATCGGCTGAGCGCTTAAAAAGGAGAAAGCTGTCGAGACAACATTAATTTTCCGTCTTTTTGATAGTTACGGCAGGAAAAATTACCAAGGGGGTCCGAGGGGCCTCCCCCGGGAAATTGTCAAAAATGACGTCTCAGTGTATGCACGTTTGACCTCCTTTTACTGTTACTGAAAAAAACCATACATACTCTGTGCTAGAAAATCACGCGAGTAACATGTAACGCACAACGCCTGAGGCGCGAAGCGATTCGGGGAGTTGGATCGCGAGGTGATTAGAGGGCGAACCCCTCGGTATACTGATAAAACATATACATATATTCTGATAAAAATTTTGTTTCTCTTTTCTCTTTGCCTCCAAGAAATGTCGCCCATAGGCATCTGTCTCGGTAATGGGCCTGCTGCAAACTTTAGCTAGAGCTTTAATAAGAATTGTTACTTATGGAAAGTGTCAAAAAATCACCATGAGCGCATCCGCAAAGTCTGAAATGCACTCCTCGCTTCACAATTTGTTTAAGAAATTTTCGTTTTTTCGAGCTTCCCGCCTCAAAAACGATACCACGGCACAGGTGAACATTTCGTTAGAGGAGTCATTCCATCCAACCCTTGCTCACAAGGCTACTACGCAATATTCAACATAGCCGACGCCAATCCGCCAAAACACATGTGATGAGACGATGATTCTAGCCACCTTACATTCCAATTTTTCTCGCGTTGTTAGATATCCGCCTTGATTGACCTCGTGTTCTCCTCAACTTGCGCGCGGAAGCGTCGGCCATGTTGAGCAGGGATTGAGTGGAACGACTCCTCTAACGAGAATTTCACCTGTGCTGTAGTATCCTTTTTGAAGCGGGAATCTTAAATAAACGCAAATATCTTACGCAGACAGTGAAGTTAGGAGTACTCGTATTTTGCAATAATGAGCTGACTTCTCTGGGTCATCTGCAAAAGCACCTGTGTGCAAAGGCAAACTAGTGACAAATTCGCTGTCTTTTAAATTACTTAGGAATAATAGTTCCCAATTTCAAAATGTAGTTCAATTAGAGCGAGATAACCGATGGCAAAGTGGATACGCCGAGTCCTTCGACTTTTTTGGCGCCAAACCAGCTATTTTCTCCTGTGTGGGTGGGACTTCTTACACGAAATCACCCTCGCTCTATTAGCTCTATTTGTAATTGAACTCTATTTTGCAATGAGAGAAACTATTTATAAGTATTTCAGTCTCTGTCTAAACACAGCATACGCGCTATTGATTCCCTATGCGGATAGATGTTGTATTGCTGCTGTTTTCATTTAACAAATTTCTAAACATAGGAATTCTCAAAACATGTGTCCAGCAAAGTTTTAGGAGCAAATACGTACTTGCGATTGGCTGCTCATGCAAGTGCAGCTGCGAAGAATTGCAGATGAGATGATTGTAGCATCGTGAATGATTGTTCACATCCAACACATACACTTTTCATGGAATAACATAAATTGAAATATTTTTAAACACAAAAAGGAGCTCATACACTGCGACAAATAGCACAAAAGTTCAGTTGATATGGGAAGTGAAATACAAAATGGACCGTGTTTAGCAGGAAGAAGCCAACCATACGTCGTTGCCAAAAACTGGGAAATATAATTTTTTAAAAGAGAACGTTTGTGGAAAATATTTTGAAACTTTTACGGAATTCGCTTCCTACTATGCAGAACATTCGATGAAATTGGCACAAAAATATCCGCACAACCGTTTTTATGTGAAAAATTAAAGTGCCTAATCAAATTTTTCAATAACTAATGTGGCTTGATTCCTTTTTGCTTAGCGCGGTTAAAATAACTCAAGTTTTTGGTAACCTCTGCGGTCTCTGGGGGTTTCCATTGATTTCTGTGCAACATTAACCGTCAACCGTACTGAAATCACTGCAAAATTTAAACTGTTTAATGTTTCACTTCCTACTTTAGCCAAAAGGTAACACAGGAATACAAATATTTTTTGCAGTATAGAAGATACTTGGCCTAGTCTCTTTGCGGTACAACTAAGACACTTTACTACACACTTGAGCGGGGACCATGACTTCTGTGACAGTCATGCTGACAGTCAGATGATAAGATTATTATATCTGACTCCTATCTTGCGCTTTTTGTTAACATAAGATAAGCCTGGCGTGGCTTGTTTTGCGATGTATCGATTTATTTGCCATTTAAAAACCTATGGGAAAAGATCGACAAACAGAGTGTTAGCAACGAACTCCTTGATAATCTACTCTTTGCCGCAGCTTCAAGTGGAGATATCGATAATCGATCATTTACGCTTCGCCACTAATAAACCCGGCTCATAGAGCTATTCTGACCAGAAAATCCCTCTCCGTGGATCATTCAGCGGCGCGCGTGCTGCCGGCGCGAAACACACACAGGCCTAGGCGCCTACAAACCTAACTGGGATACTTCACGCATTGCGCAATGCGTGAAGTATTCCTGTTAGGTTTGTCGGCGCCTGGGCGCGTGTCACGCTGGTTATCCGCCGTGCTTCGGAGTGCCACGGCGCTTCAAGCAACTATTTCGCGGCAGACGTGTTGCGCAGTACCAACCGAAATTGAAGGCGCTCCAACATATTAAGGGGGTACTCCGGTCTTAAAATGGCCAACATTTTTTTTTTTTTTTTTTTTTTTTTTTTTTTTTTTTTTTTTTTTTTTTTTTTTTTTTTTTTTCCGTTCTTTTACTAATTTTATAGAGTCTACTGAAGATGATGCACTAAATAATTATCATGCTCCCAAATACTCGAAAAAATTCGATAAAAATTATGATCCCTTGCAGAATGATGCACTTGCACCTTGCGTTTTTTCACTTACATTTACTGATATTGCTCTCCTGAAACATCAGTTTTCCGAATGTTTTTCACATCTTGGCAACCTTTTCTCAGGCCCTAATTGAGCTAGAGACCTGCGATTTTTTGTCAGTCGCTGTGTCAGTTTCAAAAGAGTCAGCCGCAAAAGAGTTCACGGTCTCCTTCGCTTAGCAGGTATGCAATTGTACCTATTTGGAAGCTGAAGTCACGCGTATTGCCCTATCCAACTTTTCTAGACTTGCGTTAGAGTCTCCGAGTCAGTCGAAAAGGGATTCTCCTTCATTTTGAGGATTTGCAATTTTATCTACTTGGAAGAAATAGTTGTATCAGTTATCGCACGCGTTCCAAGTGCAAGACTGAGATTCGCAAATTGAGTTTCGCACACCTTGAATGTTCACTTAATAAGCTTAGAAATTTTTGAAAATTAGTTTTAAAATTACATTTAAAGTAAATTTTAATTAAAATTAAATTTATTATTCAGGCTCCGCTGATTTTAATCGCGTAGATTTAGGTCCACTGTGTAACCTGACTAAGAGTTTCACAAAAATCGATCGAACAGGGGCCGAGATAGCAGCCACATTCACATCTCGAATTTTCAAATTTTGAAAATTTGAGTTGAGATTCAAGTTTTCTGTGAGAGAATGCCATCTAGTATCTCTCACAAAAATCGATTGAATAGAAGCCGCATATGATATGATCGGTAGGACTTCACATAGTGGTAAACGGTACCAGTTAATTTACATACGGCAGTGCGCCTTCATTTTCGTCTGATACTGTGCAATACTTCTGTGTTGGAATAGTTGCTCAGAGCGCCTTCATGATTATCGCTTCGACTTGATGACAGAAGGTCATGATTGCCGCTGATATTACCCTGTAGCACTTTCTGTTGGCACAACTGCGGCTTATTGAGATTAATGTCGCCTGGAAAAGGTTTTACAAATATTTGTCACGTTTTAAAAATATATTTTTTTTTCAAAATAAAGTAATAATTTCGTAAAGAAAAAATTTAAAAAATAAAAAAGTACCTATACACGTATGAGATATATTGTACATCGAATATTTTAAGGATGAAAATAAAACCAAATATTTACCAATGACAATTTAAAAAGATGATTCAAAAGGAGAAAGTAATAACATTTCATTTGGAACATGAGCAACCATAACAATACCTCCTTCTCTCTCAATTTCTCATTTCCATATTGTCAGTATAATTTTACATACCGACTAAAATATAACGCTTGAACCAAGTCACCGTTGCTTATTTTACGTGTGGGCGTAAACTACTGGACAAAAAAGGTGCGCGGACAAAAAATCGTTGACAAAATGTCCTGAAACCTTAAGGAGTCGTTCCATTCAACCCTTTCACAATAGCAATACCCAACAAAGCCGACGCTTCCGCGCGCTAATCGCAATCGGGAAGACAGGGCTAACCAAAGCGGACCTCCATCAACGCGAAGAAATCACGAATGTAAAGACGCTGTGTTGTTAACAAATTGTTAGAATCTCTTCCATCCAGGCACATGTGTTTTGCTGGATTGGCGCTGGCCATGTTGAATATTGTGTAGTATCCTAGTGATCTGCGTTGGATAGACCGGTTCTTCTAACGAAATGTTCACCTAAGCCGCGTTATTGATTATATAATTATCGTTTTTGAAGCGGGAAGCTTAAAAAAATGCAAATTTCTTACGCAGATTGTGAAGTAAGGAGTGCATTTCAAACTTTGCCAATGGGCTCATTGTGATTTTTGAGACATTTACTGATGGAAATGACTCTTATATTTGCTCTAGCAAATGTCTGCATTTGCTCTTTGCAGTTGAGATAGCGAAGAGAGGAGATGCGTTGAAATGTTGAGAAAATAGGCTCACTAGCGTCTGAGCGGAACATTTTTTTAAAGAAGCTACCGTTCTCTGTCATGTTCCCACCCGTCATCCAAAAGACTCTTAGACATCGTTTGGATGTTTAAAAATCGACCAGTCTCATTTCAATTATATAAAAAGGGTATATTATTCATTTTTATCTATATATTAGGCTAGTGTTAGGCAAGGCAGCCGTAAGTGCTATCTTCAAAATGATTTCGTGGTTGCCCTTTTGAACAAACATACAACAAACAACAAACATACTATCAGGTTAGAAATTGGCAAAGGTGTGCGGCACTTTACTTGAAAGCGCTATTTTTATTGGCTCTCTAGAGGAATAATGTCACTCACTACTGTTTTTTCTAAAACTATGTAATTTTCTGCGCTCTTGCGGCTTTCGAGGAACTTGTCTCGATTTCATTAAAGTAAGTCAAATCTTGCTACTTTAGCTAAGTCAGTAATTTCGTCTAAAAGAGACAAATTTTGAAGGAAATTTGATTTCGAAAATTTGAGATTTACGGCTCTCTTCGCTATCACGACAGTATGGGTCAAAATACTTTTTTCTCTATTTGACATTCTTTTCTAATGTGCGTTTTAAGGGGAAACCTGCAACAGTCTCTCTAAATTCTTGGAAATAAATCGTGTCTCTTGAATTTTAGAAATAGCAATGCACCGAAACTCATTGAAATGGAAAGCGCCCACTTCTAACTCGATACGCATTATTCATTGGTGATATCGGAAAAATTGAAATATCAATTAAAAGTGGGGTGGGTGGGGGAGCGGTCCGCAAAGTACCACATTTATACACCAATAGAATAAGTTATTGGCCTTTTTAAGTCCAAAATCCTTGCCCCCCGAAACACCATTTTTAATTGATACTTCAATTTTTCTAATGCCACTAACGAGTTCATCGTATCAAATAATGGAAGCACATCGATTTTCTTGAGATGCGGTGCATTATCGTTGCCAAAATTCAGGAAAAATGATTTATTTCCCACAATTTTGGAAAGAGGGGCTGTGTTTCTCTGAAAAAAAAGGAAAAAAATGAGCACTAAAATAAATGTTGAAAACGTTTTATTGAAAAAAAAACCATTTAATTTCGATAAAAAAAAGAACGACAATGCAAGCATAAGAAGGACTGCTGAGAATTGCCATTCAGTTACAACAAGCGCGTGGCCTTAATTTTTATTATTTCAGTAGGCCCCAATATTGGGTGTCTGCTATAGTTACGTGTTGCAAATTTTACAGAATTGCCCATGATTTTCCGTTTCCTTCTTATTTTAAATTTTATTGCAAGGCGTCAACTTATTCGCTTCATTTTGTAATGCCCCTGGGCGAGCTTCTCGTATTATTTGTCTTATTTGTTGAGATTGTGCCGATTGAAGTAAAATTATTGACTCATTCCCAATTCCATAATCTGATAGCGGACGAGAATTTTCCAGACAAACATTTTCATGCTTTAAAATATCAGTATCCGCGATGCCTCCGGTATCCGTCGTCGCGACAACTCGAATAGGGGCAGGACAAAAGTAAGGACGTCTGCAACGAGTGTCATCTTCATAGTACTGAGGCCCGCAACGACGTTCACCTCTGGGAGGACGCTCGTGAGAAGACGTTCCGTGACGCGCGACATCATCTCTTGGTACCGCACGATCTTTTAATTTCTTTCGCAGCTCTGCAACCGTGTCTGAACAATTTACCTGTACATTGTAATTTTCTCTCGACTTCTCATCGCAGATTAAAATTTTGATTCTGGAAATCACAAAAGAACACAATCTGAATAGGTACTCTACTGAGGATTACCACTCGACAAGAGTAGTGACAATGAGTCACTCTGTACCGCGTCGTACAAAGTATAATAAGAAGGGTGTTCGGAACACGCTTCAGGGCAGAGCTTTCCTTCCTGAAGTTTTACATTGAATTTTTTCCTTTATCGTCTTGATGAACCTGCCCTTACAGTGACACATTCATCTGTAACCTCTTTTTGTCCTGCGTAAAGGCCATTAAAATTTAACGTTTATTATGAAGAGGCATTATATGAAGGATACTAACAAGAGGCAAAGCAATGTGCACTCCAAAAAAAAGTATATCTATCAGGAATTTCTTTAATAAAAGGTAGCCAAATTTAAGGGAAATCTATTGTAACTTTTTTCTTCTTTCTTTTTTAACACTTTTTTCAAAGAAATAACCAGAGTAATGAAGCTATGAAACGAAAGAGATTTCCTCCGTCCGAAATCGATAAACATCGACGCAGGGCTTATACGGAGTAAACAGTTTATGGGTTCAAAATCAAGATTTTGACCAGTAAGAAGTTTGTTTCCACCATAGGACGGTAAAAGTGACGTGGCTTTGAAATGTCTGCCAGTTTCTCGAGAATGACTAACTCATGTAAAAAAGAGTGGAGCTTAGGCAGGTCCCAGACACTTCGAATAGGGAAGGATGGTACGTGCGGGAGGTTTGAGGGGCTCTCCCGAAAATATTTAAAATTTCAAAACATCTAATGTGCAGTTTGAATATATTTTGTCATGAAAAAAGAGTCCAAATATAAGCGTCCTTCCTTCTTAACTATTTCCTCAGTTCTTTCCCTCTTTTTATCTCCCTTAGTCTTTCTTTATTTTTTCGTGCGAACGGGGGAGGGGGGGGGCGTGCTCCCTCTACATATGCACCCTGGATCCACGTATGGAGTACAGCCGTGAGGAGCTAGCTCGGGGGCCTAAGGAGCAGCAATCACAAACTCGTAAAGACAGGCTCTCTCGCAAGAAAATTGATGTAAATAAGTAGGTACATTATACACTTACGATTTCTGGAAACGAGGGATTGGTCTAAGGTTTTCAGGTCTAGGCCTGGAGATCAAGTATGTAAGAATTGATAGTTCCTCCTCGATTGAAAGGATGCCTGAGTTACTAACAACCTCCGTAAATTCTTTGAGAGACATCAGTCTGAACCGGATCAACGGTAGAACCGGCTCCAGAACTCGCCTCATATTTTTCACGTTCGTTTTCAAATTTTGTCTTCGGCATTCAAGTTTTGCCCATCTGCAATGAAGTTACAGATAAAGTTGGATTAATTTGGAAAGAAAATTGTTAATACTTTCAAAGATCTCGCGAGTCACCAACATATTTTTGCTTGGATGACGAAAGGGCGTACCCAGTGCTCATGTTTCAAATGTACATTTTACATTAGGGGAAAGCCAATTTACCCACGGGGGTGGTTAAATTAGCAATTATAAAATCTACATTGAAACACTGCAGTCAAATTTTTTAACTACAAAATTGATCAGTCAGCAATTCATTTTTTTCCGTGGAGACAATACGTTGCTCTACACTATTGCTTAACCGGACGGATGAGATACGTCTTCTTATACTGACTGTAATCTCCAAAATGGATGCACCGTCACCAGACACCCGATTTGCCCTCTTAAAACAATGAATTTGACGAATAAATTCTAAAAAAAATATCCAATACTTTTTCATCAATAGATCCTACCAACTTCACATTAACGGTAGAGTATCTAGTCCACAAACCCGAGAATTGATTTAAATAAATCAACTTCTTCGATTTCCAATTTATTCCTTTCCAGGATGCAGCAGATAGTTTCTACGTCAAGGTCGTGAAAACAGAAATTGACTTCGTCGTCACGCGGGCAGTGAAATATTGCAGAGGTTGCCGCCGTGGATAATCTCTCAAAGCATAAGTTCATGACATCTGTCGCTCCTAATAATCTTGCCTGCAAAAAATTAAGAAACAAAAATAATAAAGTGGAGACTGAATTCAAGAGCGAATTTGAAGAGTTCACGAGAGTGACTCCTACAAGTGTGACAAGAGTGACAACCTAACTCGAGAGTTCAAATTCACGAGTGTGTTCTCGGATAAAATTCAATTGATTCAAAAAGGACATAACGGCCGGCGGCGTAAGTCCGCAACCACGTATCTCGTTTGCGGTGTTTGAAAATCTCCGCTCCTATTTTATTTTTTTAAAGGAGAACAAATCGACATTATTCCTTGAAGTTTTCGCAGAATTTTCTTGACACCGAGAAGAAAAACCGTGTGAAAAATCGAGAGTTTTTCGGGATTTTCCGCGGTGGAATGTGATTATTTCATTGTTTCCATGTTTTGAGGATGTAACTACATGGATGTCAGCAGCCAAACCGGATGGACCCACAATCGTTTTGTCGTGGAAAAATTATCAATTCGCGGTAGTTAATGGGCAATCAGTGAAAATGCGTGAGCCAGAAAGATTAACTTAAAAGATGTTTGAGAAAACACGATTTCCTGCACTTAAAATTAAAGTACAATCGGTTCCCTTACTTCAAGTAGGTAATAACAGAGATCTGAGGGCGTTAAGGATGTCTTCAGAAACGTAATACACTTAAGCTTGAGTGCCTGTACATCATACTTGTCAGCTGCGTAAAAAAGTGGCCATACTATGAGTTTCGTGAGAGCAACTTTCTCACAATATATGAATCTGAAACATGACAGTAAAAACATAACTCAACACAAAAGTGCATGTCAAATCAAAGATTATAAGCGCTCGACTGGATAAAAAAAAATAAAAATCGGATTTTGAACTTTCGGCAATGAGAAATCTCTAGTTTTCGAGAGAATTATAGTGTGCATTATTTCAGGACGTTCATAAGCAATATAATTGGTCCAATTAATGTTATAAGGAACTATTTTACACATGAATCTTACGCATGTAGTTCCTTTTACCATAAATACGTCCTATTCGGCAATGGGACTGTTTCGAACTTCAGCCAGAGCAAAAAGAATAGAGCAGTTGTTTCTTACAGAAAATGACTCAAAAATCACGATGAGAAAAAGTCTGAAATACGCTCGTTAATTCACAATCTACGTAAGAAATATGCGTTTTTTTAAGACTCTATTTTTTTGAACGAGGAACTATAAACCGCTATTAATCCAGTCTGACTCCACACTTTCGTGCGTTTCTTAATCCAAAATGATCGCACTATAACACTCCTCTATTCACGGAAAATTTTTTTCAGGGTTATCCCCTTAAATTTTGGTACTACCCGAATTTGTTGGATGATATGAAAATTTCCAATTAATTGTGGTAGTACCGCAACTCAAATGGGGCCGCATCGCAACATTTGGCATGGTAACCTAATTAACTAGGGCACTACCAAAATTAATTGGAAATTTCCATATCATCCAACAATGGACCACTAGACAAGGTACGAATTTCAGCATTCTGATACATGTTTATCAACCAAAATTTCACGTAAAACACGATGCACACAACGAAAATTACAAAAATCAACTTCTTAGGAAGCTATTTAGTGATTCTTGATGCGTGAATTCAAACCACCCGCCCATGAAAACTCAATGCTCTCCGTGATTCACATCGCTCATAAACGTTATCATGAACGTCTCTGCGATAAAAAAATCTGGCAACCTCAATCTTGACACTTTGGCTCAGCTATAGCAAATTACTTATAGTTTGAAAAACACATGGTAGGAAATGAACATTGCTCGATTGAGAAGATTGCTGAAACCGTTGTAGTGCGCGATTTGACTCAAGTAGAGCTTTGAGTTTCTTGTGAGCGGGCAGTTCAAATTCCTCGTAACCAATGAGAAATAAAAATGTTAATAGCTTCGTTAGGAGTTGTTTTCAGTAATTTTCGCTGCGCAAATCGTGTTCTACGTGACTTTTTGGTTAAGATACATGAATCAGAATGCTTAAATTCGTACCTTGTCTAGTGGTCCATTGGGACTTAACCCCTGCTACCTCTTTTTCCCGTGTTCTTCAGTTGTTTTCATTTTTGTAAACGAAGTCCATTATTTTCCCATGGACTCACGCGTGTGCATGTCTATAAAGTGTAACTTCTAAGTTATATCGCTCTAAATACTCATATAGCATCCGTCGCCTTGGGCCGATTTACTCCTCCGCTGCGATTACTCCCTTCCTCTTTGTCTCTCAGAGCTCACGCCAAATAAGTTTCTGCACGTCTAGACTGCAACAGAGGATCGCCTAACGTCACTCTTACATGTAAAGTGAATGCAAAAAGCAAGATGGCGGATCTTCCGTCCCAGTCTGTAAGTGCGATAACTTATTCGGCGTGAACTCTATTTTACGGTCGGTAATTTCCGGGAAATTGGGCGGAACGTCCCATTTTTCCTTTCATTTTTCGTCCTTTATCCATTTTTTTCAGCTTAAGATTTTAACTTACGGCCAACCTTTCTGCCTACATACCTCTCGAGATGGGGTCGAGTCCACTCGTGAAAAATCACCTTTCAGCAATCCTAGCCTAATTTGAAAAAAAAAGGAAAAAAACTTGCCCTGTAAAAGGCTCACTGCTTGGGCTCACCGCGACATTCGTTAGTCATCATGAGAAACTTTTTAAGCGTGCCAGTAGGGTTCAATTTTTGAAATCACTCGGATAAGTCATAGTGCAGCACACCGATCAACAGGCTTGGCCATAAGGCCAATCTACCATTGGGAGATACGCCCCCTTGGCGCGCCAAAAACGCGCCCCTCTGACAGATAGCAAAATAAGAAGAGGAAAAAAAATTACGACCGAGAATATGTGCGGAAAATTTCTTAAATGAACCGAAGAAGAGAGAGATAGGAGTAAAAAAAAAGGTGCTTTTACGCATGATAGTGGTGAACAGAGGTCCAAGAACAACTTTTTGAAGCGTAAACACTTTCTGTGAAATGTTCACCTTTCTGTTGACATACAGCCGCTATATCATCCCTATGTGTACTCCCTGTTAACTCCCTCAAGGCGATGGTCGGTTCGATTTTTAGACATACGCACCCTTTATACCCCTCTTGAGAGACCTTTAAACATATTTCTATGACTCTTGATTTGGACAAACCATAGCATATCTCGGGCAAACTTAACCTTCATTTATCTCGAAATTTAAAAATAGGAGACGTCTAAAGTGTAAACGCGATATAACTATTCGCGCAAGATGGATGTCCACATTGCATATGAAAAATGTAAGACGCGATGGCGTGAGTTGTGAGCTCGCAAAGCTCTGCTATATGCTACTAGTTTAGAGCACCATTATGAATTAGACAAACGCATACAAACACAATATGGAAATAAAGTGAGGGAAAGGATGAGCTTTAACGACGGCGCAAAGATACAACTATTCGTACTTGATGGACGTCCTCGTTGTATCTGAAAAATTGAAGGCGCGTTGACGCGAAGCGTGAACTCTCAATGCTCTGCTATATGCTGTTAATGAGGTGTCGCTCAGATTTGGGAGAAAAGTTAAAAAAGAGGCCCGAATACGTCTTTCCTGTCCTTAGCTGTGTTAATACTCGGCCTTTCTTCTTTTTTTAGTTTCCTGTCTGATTCTTTTTTCGGATGAATTTGCAGACCCACGTCTTATGCTCGTGCAAACCGCAGCTTTGGCTCGGTTCTTTTGGAAATAATGGTGCTCGGATACGTCCTAGTGACTTTAATTTTTTATGTTTTCTTTAATTTCAGAAGTCTATCGGTTACTTCAATACGTTCAATTTTGCAAATTTTACTCCTTGCGATTACTCAATGAACTTTGAACCTGAAAATAGCGTAAACTTGTGCTGCTTTGCCAAAATTTTCTCAACCCCTCTCTTCGTAGGGGATGCCCCACCAGGAAATATCACATTACGCTCCTTTAACCGGCCAAGGGTCTGCGCCCTCAGATGCGAGTCAGTCCGACCCTGCCGATCAACCAATGCTATTCAACGGGCCGTCCAAATATTTTTTTCCTCGGACTCGTTTTTTTGTCTTTGAACCGTTATACTGTCAAGCCCTGCTGGTCTTTTACCAAAAAACCGAATGAACTGCTAATTAAAAACCCTTGAGAACATTTTCCTGTCAAAACCGTATTACTTCATTTGACAGAAACCTCATAGAAGCTTTTCTAAGCTCGGATGAACTCAACTCTGGAAGCTTCCTTCCTGCCAAAACTTTCTAGCCAATGAGCGTCTTCCGCTGAAAGTGTAATCTTTAATGAGCCTCGTTACTCATTATACCATGTGCTAACCGTGGCCCACTGCAGTTATCTCCCGATATAGCTTTGGGTGTCAGGTTTCGAGCAAGGCAATAAAAGACGACAAGGCGAGTGTCGCCTTGCCAACGCACCTTATCTTCCACGCCCGATTAACGCTATCGTTACGCCAGGATCCACCAAATTTTCACAAAAATTATTTTCCGTCTATTCAACGAGTGTTTCCTTACTCTCCGTTAATATACAAATAAAAAGAGACCTCATTTGTAAAAATCGGCCGAATAAAAGAGAAGTTACAGATCAAAATCCAAAGAGATTAACTTAACGCGATTTCGTTGCACGACAGTGCGCTCAAATCGCGGTCGTGCGTAAATGCCGCATATCAGCTTAAAATCAAGATAATTGGACGGAATCTTTGAAGTTAATTTACATTCAACGTTCATGAATCAATATTTTCTCCCATAAATTTTAGCAAAAAGTACCAATTGGTACAAATAGCAAAGACGTGAAAATAGTAGGTATGTGTCCAATGGTTCAGTTATTTGGCACGCTTTTCCAACATATTCAAGTTGGATTTTTTTTCTTGAGTTTTTTTTAGTTTTTTCTCAAGAATTTGCTCAGCAACTTTCATTGCGTCGAAACTTTTCGACCCCACACCCACACGCGGCCATCATTAGGGTAAATATTACAGCATATAGCGTAACTCAGAAAACTGCAAAGCAGTTAACAAGTAACTCTGCAAACAAGCGACTTTATTTTATTAGTAGGACGAAATAAGATTAGAATTAATAACTAACAATGCACCGCGAGATATTGGGTACCCAATGATTGCCGGTGCTTGTGAACTGCTTTGCAGTTTTCTGTGCTAAGCTATTTTGTAATTTTTACACTGATGACGACCGAAAGCCTCGACGCAATAAAAAGGTGATTTTCATTTTAATGAGCATTAACAGCATATGTCTATTCTGTTTATCCCTTATTAAAAAAGAAATTAGCTCACACCTTAGGAGTTCGTAGAAAGCATCCGGCTCTACATCAGGTACTGCAATTTCACTTTCATCAGACGACCACCGCTCGCTTAGCATGGCTGCAAAAACTGAACTGCCGAGTGACAAGATACTCCTGATTGCTGGAATTCTTTTTTCTTCCGTCCCGACGATGAAACATACATCCGTGAATAGATTTTCTCTCAGAGCAATTTCTTGTCTGTCTGAAAGAGATGTCACACGCCAATCTTCGTCGTTGTTACTAACCGCACCCCTAGTCTTCCAGTCTGTTTTGGGATTAGTGCTTGACATATTCCTCTAGTTTATAGTTCCCAGTGATGACAGGTGGTTAGAGGCTCAATTGGAGAAAATCTATGGGACAGAAAAACACGAATAATCAAGGACGTGATGGTTAGTAGAAGCTAATATAAACAGGAGCATAAGACCAAAGAGGATCAAAGGAGGAAGCTGAGGTAACAAGAATTTTTCCGTCCTCTTGATAGTTTCAGGAGGAAAAATTAGCAAGGGGGTTCGAGGGGCCAAGGGAGTCCACGGGGCCTCCCTCAGAAATATATATGCTTTCTAAAAATACCAAAGAGATACCGCAACGAAGTGGAATGACACTATGCCGGTCTGCAACATTTTGAATTTTTTTTTTTTTTTTTTTTTTTTTTTTTTTTTTTTTTTAAGAATCATTTTTTTGGGCCGCTTTGATCTCATGTCCTGCCGCTAAAAATCAATATTCTTGAAATCTCTTGAAGCGAAAATCTTTCCTTTGCGATAAGATTTCAAGGTTAGATGCCGAGATTAAATGTTTTGGTTCGATGATTTTCCCCCATTTCATAAAAATCATGAGATCCACTTTTATATCGAGCAATTTCTTCGGATTTCAACGTATAAAACGTACATCTACGTCATTCACGTTTATGGCGGCGTTTTGACACAAAATTTGGAAAGAGCAGATCAAATTACCTGAGGAATCATCATGTTTTGAACGATATGTCTGATCTGTCTTTTAATTAATAAAGCTCCGCTAGAGACACTTTCTGGCCCACTGTGCGGGGAGTCGGGGGACCTACTCCGGAAAAAATTATAGATATAGCCTCTGTCAGATTGAATTCTTATCAGTTTCAGCAGAAAATTCGTGCATTTTTAGAAAGTCAACCACATAGGACACATAGAAAAACACCAATCACGCAACCAAATGTCAAGAAACAGTTAAATGCTGTAAAATCGCTGTTATCTCGTGACGACATTCAACCTTCCCTCTGATTACTCCGAGAATATACTGCTTAGCCAAAGCTCTGGCATTATTCAAGGAACAGAAATTATACAAACAAAACTGAACAATTTCAAAAGTTCCTCACCACTGTGCCATTAATTTATAGAAGCTAAAGAGCGAGATCACTTTTCCATCCCGTGCTCCGATTAGAAGGACAAACCATAGAGGACTGACAAATCGCGAGTTCTCTGGCTGCCCTAGACGTGAGATTGCAGAAATATTACACCCCCGCAAGTGTTCGGAATGGACTCGTCCATCGCAGTTATGCCGTGTGTCATCATTTTTGCAAGTTGGGCCCTGTAAGATTTGCGGCTAGGTACACTCTCCTATAGTGGCGTGACGTGTCTTGCGATACGTCGATTGATCTGCCATTTAAACCTATGGAAAAGGATCGATAAACAGGGTGTTCACAACAAACACCTTAATAATCGATGCTTTACTATAGCTTCAAATGGGGAAATATCGATAATCGATCATTCACACCTCGCCACTGCTCTCCTACACCCCTCTCCTACCGATACTTTGAGAAGAGCTTCACCAGGCTCACGAGATTGTAGTGAAGTTCAGAAGCTTTGGAAATGGGCAAACATAACTGTAAATATCCACTGCCACTCTTCCCCTCTCTAATAAAGAAGAGGACAATTCAAACTCTAGTTACATAGTTCTGTCTTAAAACTATTACAGTAAATTTTTAGGAGCACTTTTTTCCTCTCCTCGTTTCCTTTTTTTTCGCCCGAGGGGAGGGGGAGGGCATGCTACTACCCCTCCCCCCTTCCTGGATCCGCCACTGGATAAGTGAGATAAAATAGTTTCTACTTGCAAAAGAATATGATCAACTACAGAAACAAACTCCACTCGGCCTTAATCTTAAAAAAATTGAAAGTCTGGAGCATAGATGTGTACTAACTCTAACCCGTTGCGCATTTAAGGGTTACAAAATTCTTAAATGGATCAAAAACCTGAAATAATTTAAAGAAAAAAAATGTATAATCAAAATGTGTTAAATTGGAAGGCACTCCAAATAAATTATTCGTCGATATGCAGATATCTTAACAAACGTATTCCTGAAACACGATTCCAGCGAGTATTAGGAGTAAATATGTACGTACTTGGGACCTTATGAGCATGTGAAGCTGAGGAAACAGTGGTGATTGAGGCAACGCCAACATGAATAATGATTCAGATCCAACACGCAAAACTTCAATGAAATAATCAAAACTTAAATATTTTTAAACGCAAGAACTAAGAGTTCGTACACTGAAATAAAAGTTCAGTGATCATGGGAAGTGAAATACAAGATAAGTCAAGCTTTCGGTATCTGGTGGTTTTCATTGATTTCAGTGCTGAATTGAACGCGAATCGGACTGAAATCAACCCAAATACCATTGTCTTGGGTTCACTCCCTACACTGACCATAAACCAACTTGTAAACACAGGAACACGACAATATTTCGCAGTGTAGAGGATATTTGGCCGGGACTCGTTGCGGTGAAACCACGACACATCACTGGTCAATGCACACTTTGAGCTGGAACCAGGACTTCTGTGCCAGCTATGTCGACCCTCAGACGATAAGATTATTACAACTGATACCCAGATAGCGTTTTTGGTAACAGAAGATAAACCAGTGTGGCTTTATATGGCTCCGCTCACAGAAATTCCAATGGCGTGGCGTGCTTAGCGATATATCTATTGAACTATCATTCAAACCTACGGAAAAGGATCGATAAACAGGGCTTCCCCCCGAAAAGTTTTTCAGGTATTTGTAAAAAAATTTAAAGCGTCTTATATGCAGTTTTGTCTTGAATAATGACCGAATATGAGAGTCCTTCCTTCCTCTTTTCATTTTTCTTCCTATCTAGCCTTGTTATTCCTCCTTTTTTTTGGGTGAACGGGGGGGGGGGNCCCCCCCCCCCCCCCGACCCCCTTGAATCCGTCCTGGTCTTACTCTATATATTATGGGAACATCAGAGTACCATATGGCAGTATTCCTCTAAAGGCGCGAAGCCACTCGGGAGGCTGGACCGTGGAGCTGTGACGGAGCGTACCCCCTCGTTCTTAAAAAAAATTGGCTCGATAAATTTTGAAAGGTCTACGCTTCAACTCAAAAAACTTCCGAAAAACGGAGATACACAATTTTAGGTGGTTTTTCATCACTCTGGCTTACGGGGAATAGTTTGATAATCAAAGAATCAGTTAATAATTTCTGGATTTTAAGACATTACTTCAAAATTACCGAGAATCACATCACTTTGTAGCCCCCCGGGAATTTTTGCTCGAAATTTGACCGAGAAACATTTTGCAATGACTCCGAAAACACGGCCCGAGTAAATATCGCAAATTATTTTACCCTCTGATTAGGATATCTTTCGGAGTTTCTCGGTCAAACTTTGTGTGTATACAAATACTTGAAGCACTACAGCGGGATGTGGTAAGTGGACATTTTTGAGACAAGTCCCAAAATTGAAAAATGATCAATTATTTATTCAGTTGAGTGCTGAATTGTTCACTCCATTGAATGATTGGTATTCACCTTGAGAATCTATTTATATTAAAACAAATTTAAATAAATAGAGTATTGTAATTAATTTGTGGAATTTTGTGAGCATTTTGAAATAATTAAAGTTCACACCATGTAAAACGTGAAATTTTGATGAGGGAACATATGATACTTGGTATCTTAGCCTATTCAGTGGTATATGGAAGTATTATCGATTTAAACCAACTCAAGCCTATTGCAATAACCAATTTTCAAGAGCTTATCAAACAATATGAGTTTTCATGACTGTGCACGGTATCATTTCGATGCGAATAGTGATGGAATGAGAGTGAACTCAAAATAAATACGTATGCCTTATGTGATTCAATTGATGATTTTTGTGCTGGTTCATTTTTTGTTTATTATTTTGAATTATAAAACTTATTTTCAGTGTAAAATCCTCCAGGAAATGATTTAATATTAAGAAAACGTTGAAAAGCCGCCTGCACGTCATTCGAAAACCGCCCTAACAGAGTGATCCTTTACCCTCTCAAGTTTAAAATTTGTTTAGAAAAGCCACTGTCCATGGTCATGAAGCTCAGTATCGCACATACTAAGATTTCGAATGCCCAGCAATAAGGTGTGTGTTATTGTCAATGACCGAGCAAGTGTGATATTTTGCCTAGTCTCTGATTTGAAGGCAAATTTTCGACGGTCATCTATGCATATCGCGGATGAAGCAAGGACGAACGTAAGCTCAAAAGGCTCTGCGCTCTGGTGACATTGAATTTTCATATTTTGTTGTCCTATTTTATTCCTTTCGTATAAGGCTCTTCAAAATCGAAGAGCTCATTTTGCATTATTTCTGGTACCGAAATTTAAAAAAAGACGTATTTCTACCGAACAGAACTATGTGCGGGCGGGAAATATGGGGTGTGCGAATGGGAACTATAAAGTGCCGGTGACGTCAGACGCAACGAAGCCGCCGCGCCGCCGCCGCGGTCATGTTTGAGCTGCTTTAACTCATGAGCCCTGCTCACAACGTTTTTGTCCTATGCCCAGGGCTCATGGGTCCAACATACAGTCGGCACATGGTTCCGTTTGGTGAATTTAAAATCCCGCTTTTCCATTTACTAAAAAGAATCACGCACACACGCACACTTTTACATTGTTTCTTATCCAGCTCACCGCGAGCACACCCCATCTTACCACCTGCACATAGTTCTGTTTGGCAGAAATACGTCCAAATATGTTTCAGATTTAATCGCACGTCTTTATTATGGATAGGCTTGAGCACGAAAAGTCGTCCAAAAAGAGACAGAATGAAGAACATGTTAACTAAGATGTTGGGTCTTACGCCCAAAAAGAGGTTTTTTAGTTTTTGGCTTAGTTTTAGCGCGGGATCGTCAGCCAGTCGCAGTCGCTCTGCCGCGACTCCGTTGTCGGCCCCACTCCTGATCGTGAGTCGTTGTGCGCAGGCGCCAAGTGACCAGTGCGCAAGCCCACGCGCACGCAGCGACCCACGGCGACGGTCAGGAGAGTGGCCGCGGCGGCGATCAGTCTGCGATCAGCTCTAGAGAAGGCCAACGACAAGAGTTCCCCCGTGTCTAGCTTCTCCGTTTTTGCAACGCCTTTAGAGTAAGCCGACTCCTTGTCTTTTTCCTTTTCTCTCCTTTCTAGGACGTCCATTCCCTAGAAAGAGAGTTGCCTCAGGACGTCCATTCCCTGAGAGATCCCCTCGGGACGTTCATTCCCCGAGTTGCGTCATGACGTACATACCCTGACATGCCACCACGAAGTGCCATGCCGTGGTGATGCTTTTCGTATGTTAGGTTTTCTCGTGTATCTTGTTTTCTGACCAGTTGAGTTTCCGTTCAGGTTTTCTTTCCGCTTTATTTCTCCGATTTTAGTTTATGCTTTCTTCTTCTCGTGGTGGGATGCCTAGGTATGCGGTTCGCCTAGTTGCCTTGGGTTCTGTCCCCGAGATGGATTTTCCTTTCCTCCTTTTTTCACTTTTTTCTTAGTACGGTCCTCCGGTTCCCTCTCTATTTCCACTCCGGACCCGACATAAGAGGTTTTAGACTGAGGTTTAAATTCATTTCAATCGTTTTTTTCTGGGGGGGGGGGAGGGGGCTACTCAATGCCGTAAAAATGGGGATTTGCCCTTGTTCTTCGGTTAGTTTTATCTCCCTGCAAATATCAGTCATAAAACTACAACAGAAAATAATCAGTCACTCATGAATACCTTTTGCTATTCATGATGGTTACTGAAAACCAGTAAAGCAGTCTGCTTTAAAACACAACTTTAAAATTCGAACTTAAAAACATATAAAATTTATTGTACAAAAATTAATTACAGAGCGTTTTGTCGGTACTATTTACATTTTCTAGGTCTTGCAGGAACTAATACAATTTTCAAAAAGAAACATCAGACTTTAAGATACTTAAACAAAGATGAGCTAGTTCTGGTTCATTCCAAGAGTACATAGAAAAAATACGAAAATGACATGATTTGGGAAAATTCAAAAATATATATAAGGCGATCACAGCATGACTCAAAACTATGGAGTGAGCCGTCGACGGCGTTGAAATCGTCAAAAATGCTACTCCCGGTGTTCATAAATTTTTTTTTTACAATTTTCATTTAGATCATTGTGTTCGTCGTGAAACACTATACATAGCAATCTTCGGGCTTTTGGTTTCCTATCCATGCAGAGACGAAAGGAGATGGGGAGACCCTCCACGGGCCTCTTCGTGACAGGTGAAAGCTTTTACTTTCGGGGATTCAAAACTTCCTTTCGGACAATTATAATGGAGAATCCGTCATCGCCCTTTTTTCGGCTGTTGGCCTACCAGATGGCTCATGAGCTTCGGGCAACTTCATGAGCCAATCAAGTTTGCCAAGTTTCGGTTTCTTTGTAAAACACATTACCCACAACACGTTTTTGAATAATTGCTCAGGAGATGAGAAAAAAAAAAAACATGTTGCCCGAACTGTACAAGTATGTAAGAAGGTGGTAAAATAGAGGTGGGTCCACACGATTTTGCGGGGGAAGCAAGGCCAACAAATTCGATTTTTTTTTATAAAGTCAAAAATTTGAACTCTAAAATGAGTATCAGTGCAAAACTGACGGGAAATGATCGCTGGCACTAAGGAATAAGGGTAAAACGTTTTCCACCTTTTCTGCATCACTAGCAATATATCGACAGTGTAAGTCGGCAATCACATAACTCGATATGTGACGTTGAAGACTACCTGTCATGCTCTATTTTTTAAACGGAAAACTACTCGACGGCAATTCTTTAAAACTGCCGTGATTTTTGTTCTCCATGCGAAGAAAAATATGCAAAAACTTCAAGGAACGATGTCAATTTGTTGTCAAAACGAGTTATGTGATTGCCGACTTACACTGTCGATATATAATTTTTCTTCTAATTAACTAATAAGTGATGTAAAATGCAATCTCTCAATTGACGGGAGGGTATTTCAATGCACTTGCCTGAGCTGAATACTCCACCCCTTTCCCCTCATTTTTGTACTGATACTCATCAGAGCTCAAATTCTTGACTCTAAACGAAATTTTTGGAGTTTGTGTGCCCTGCTTTCCTTGTAGATTAGTGTGGAGTAGACCTAACACTATTCTACCACCTTCTTACAAACAGTTCGTTACATTTGTTGATTTATATTTGCTCATCTCCTGACTAATTATTCACAAAGGTATTGTGGGTAATTCGTTTTGCAAAGGAACCGAAGTTCGGAAACTTGATTGGCTCATGACGTCACCCGAAGCTCATCAGCCACCTAGTTGGTAAGTCAACATTTGGACGTATTTGTGCCAAACGGAACTATGTGCATTGTGACGTGAGCCCTGTTATGAATATATTCCTATGGGTCTAAGGGATCATGCCTTAGTTCACATAGTTCTGTTCGGCAGAAAAACGTCCATTTGACAGTTGGAGTCCCGAAAGTAAAGGCTTCAACCATTGCCAAGATATCTAAGTAGGGTCTCTCTTTGTCTCTGTATCAATTCGTTTCTATACTTAGAGGTCTCGGTACACGATCAAATTCCCGAACCAATTCCCATCAAACTGTCGGAAGTCACTAGTTTTAAAATCATTACCTACTTTGCTTCATTTTAAAATGAAAACTTGGCAGAAATGTTTCGTGCGGCAGGAAATGATGAGGGCCCGTCCAATTTTGATCAAAGAGGACTGTTGCATGGTGACCATTAGTCATCAACTGGTCTACGTTGATCAGAATTTGTTTGGAATTTGATCGTGTGTCTGTCGAAGGCAAAAAGTCAAATCAGGCATTTTGTCAAATGCCTAGGCAAACAATCAACCCTGGTAAAAATTGGCAGTAGAATCTGTGTTCCAAAATACCGTAGACCTACAGCCGGCTGCAAGATTTCAAATAGCTTCTAAAGCCGGCAACACAATTTCTTATAGCCTTTTATAGCCGATGGCGATTAAGCAACAGCCTGGCGATAAAGTGTATGCTAAACGTTACTAATTACGGATGCAAGAACTACCGCTCTCTTTTTGGGCCGTAGTATCTTGAGTTATTTTTCGAGGAAAGCTCCGTACTTTTGAAGGATGCCTGCCATTCCTAATATGTGGGAGCGCCTTCAATTTCGTATGATACTGTGCAATACCTCTGGTGTGAAATAGTTGCTTCAAGCGCCGTGGTACCAGCGCAAAACGCGCATTGGCGCCTACAAACCTAACAGGGATACTTCACGCATTGCGCAAAGCGTGAAGTATCCCTGTTAGGTTTGTAGGCGCCGCCGCTCCGCTTTGTGTTAGGCTCTAATATTTCATCTCGTGGAGTCAGCGTTTTTCAACTCATGACTTTGAAATTTTTGCACACTCTGTATGGATTATTCTCATTTTAATTGATGAAAAAAAAATATGTAGTAAAGGAAAATTTAACGTGCGTTTTGTAAATATTAAGGTGATTCCGGACAAACTTAAGTATTTACAAAGCATACGAATTTCTACACAATTTCTTATAGCCTTTTATAGCCGATGGCGAAAAAGCAACAGCAAGGTGACAAAGTGTAAAGCCCGGCGATAGGAACTATAGCCCGGCTGTATTATTTTTTATCGCTTCGTGTAGCCCGGCCGTATGATTTTTTCCACTTTCTACAGCTAGCTATATGATTTTGTACCGCCTTCTTCAGTCGGCTATAAGAACTCCTATGGTATTTTGAAACGCAGCTCCTATCGCCAATTTTTACCAGGGAAATATTCTTACTGAGATTGAAATTTCGATCTTTTACCGTAATTGTAGACAAAATAATTCGTTGCTCCTGTAAGAAAGAATTCTCTGGAGACATATTCAGCATACAATGGTATTTCAAACGATTTTAAGACCTGAATGCACATTTATCATGAAATTTTCAGCACGTCGTAAAACATGGAATTTTTAAAATTTAAACATCTATATGTATTAAGGGCATGTAAAACGGAAGGAACGAAGAGAGTTCGGGGATTTGAAGGGTTATTCTTCCCAAAACGTTGAAAACCCGTGAACTCCTCGCCATAAATTTACAGAGTGTTCCATAAAATGTCAAAATTTGACTACCGGTCTAGGCCTTCGACAAATTGCCTTCGACATATAACCCCAGACCTTAAGGCGAATCCAGGCTTCAAACTTCGCGATTTGGCCACCTCGTCGCGCTGCTCAGAATAGCCGTATATATTTGCCAAAATAATAAAAACCATAATACTTATTCAAGATTGGGGAACCAGGGGATATAGCAACATACTTGAGGAACACTCAGTAAAAAAAATATTCTCAAAATTCCCAAAAATAAAGTCGTAACTACGGCGGAAAGTAATTCCCATTGCGGCAATGGGAGAGGGAGAGACAGAGCGTTAGGGGTTCGGTTGCGCGCTCGGCCGCCGCCGCTGAGCTGAAAGTTTCAACCGTACTTTCATTGCGCTTGTAATTCTAATTGCCAATATTTTTGGCTCAAAAAATCGAGCAAAAAATAAGTTATATCTCATTGATCTGCTTTTTTTAGTATGAACAATATTATTTCAGTATTCATCGAAGGAAAGCGAAATTCTCAGTGGTGACTGGTGGCGCTATCTCTAATCTTGAATGGACCACTAGACAAGATACAAATTTAAGCATTTTGATACATGTTTCATGAGTAGAATTTTACGTAGAACATGATTCGTGCAACGAAAATTACTGTAACCAACTCCTAACGGAGATAATAACATTTGTATTTCACCTTGGTTACGAGGAATTTGAACTGCCCGCTCACAAGAAACTCAAAGCTCTACGTGAGTCAAATCGCGCACTACAACGGTTTCAGCAAGCTTCTAAGTCGAGCAATGTTCATTTTCCACCAAGTGCTGTTCAAACTGTAAGCAATTTGCTGTAGCTGAGCCAAAGTGTCAAGATTGAGGTTGCCAGATTTGTACATCGTAGAGACTGTCATGATAACGTTCAGCGCGCGATGTGAATCACGTGGAGCATTGAGTTTTCATGAGCGGGTGATTTGAATTCACGCATCAAGAATCATTTAATATCTTTGTAAGGAGTTAATTTCGGTAATTTTTGTTATAGGCATCGTGTTTTACGTGAAATTTTGGTTAAGAAACATGTATCAGAATGCTGAAATTCGTACCTTATCTAGTGGTCCATTCTCAATGGTGACTGGTGGCGCTATCTCTAATCTTGAATTATCCCTAATCGAACCCTGGATTCACCTTTCGCTAAAAAATCCTCGGGAACTAGGCAAGACATCAGCTGTTGTTGGACTTGTGGAGCGACAGGTTGACCGGCTCAACGGAGGACATCTGGGCCTGGAAGACGGCCTGGCTGACCAGGAGCTTGACCCTGGCCTGCTGCGCCGGGGGCAGGGTCTTGGTCGTCCTCGCCAGACTCAGGAAGAACAGCTCCGTCTCGTCCATGTCCCGGACGTCGTCCTGTCGGAGGGGGAGGCTCCTCCGCGGGGAGCTGTCCCTCAGGATGCAGTCAGGGATCGGGATCTCGTCCATCGGGATGTCCTCCTCACTCCGCCTCCTCTTCCTCCCCTCCTTCAGCGACGCGTCCATCGGGACCGTCGAAGAGCAGTGCTGAAACCATACGACAACACCGTTAAAAATATCCGTGCTCAAATCCAGCCGGAAGACTTACGACTAGACCTAGAGTACCTGTATAGCGAGAGTATAGACAGATGTGAAACTCCGAAAATCCATCAGGCCTTCACCGATGTTTCCGCGAATAAAGTTAGGGCCCAGAAATGCAGCCAACCTATGAATCTCAATTATCCAGAGCGCTTTACTAATACAACTATTACAAACCATCGTTTATAAAGCACGTATTTGACTTACTTGTTGCATAAATTTACTCATGTTTGCGGAAGAAAGCTCATTTATGTACATTCTTAGCCATCTTGGTTAGAATTGGAATGTGCAGACTGGCAGTGAAATTTTGTGCGTTAGAAGTTGGTTAGAAGGGTGGCTGCACTTTTGGGCCCTAAGCCCTCCATGAAGCGATCTGTCCATACTCTCGCTATATAGGTACTCTAACTAGACCCTCCAATCGTATCTTGGCTATTGTGGAAGCTTTTACTTTCGGGGCATCAATGTTAAACTGTTGACTTACCTACATGGTTGATGTTTAACAACGTGTTGGCCGTTTCGTTTTGCAAACAAGCCGAAACAAGCCGAAGTTTGGGAAACTTGTTTGGCTCATGACGTCACCCGAAGCTCATCATCGTCCATGTAGGTAGGTCAACAGCGGAAGAAAGAGTGATGACTGTTGCTCCCTTTTAATTGTCCATAGGGAAGTGTTGAATCCCCGAAAGTAAAAGCTTCCACCTGTCGCGAGGAGGCCCGTGGAGGGTCTCGTGTCTCTGCTTAGGACTCGTGCTTTTAAGAAATCCCTTGAGACAACTCTGCTGTGCTAAGGAAAAATGCCGCATGGACATTCGAGAGTTGCCACATTCCCCCGGATAAAACACGCATTTCTGAGGAAAGTTGTGTGTATTTTTCCTTGAAACTGCCGGAGATTTCAGATTAAGTTGCGAACACAATTACCTGAACAAATTGAAGAAAAGCTTACACAATTTTTACAGTATATTCGTTTTTCGTTAGAGGGAATGTGACAACTACTTAAGGTTCGTGCGGTCGTCTTCCTTAGCTTGGCAGAACAGATGTTTTGCTTTTCATCAACAGGAATACATTTTGGGGACTTATTAAATGGATTGCATTTTGCAAAAAGGAACCACTAGCATTGCAATGATGCTAAAATTGTGCAACTTCATCCTTTGCAATAAAATTGCGGAAATCGTGAAAAACTATGAAATTTAGATGGTAATTTTTGTCTTATATTCACAGTTTTTAGCGAGTAAAATAGGAACTGTTAATGGATAATCGGGTTTTTCCTCCAAGACAAAAGAAGTTGCACAATCTTAGCAACATTGCAATGCTAGTGGTTCCTTTTTGCAAAATGCAATCCAAATGTAGAATTGATATCTTATACACATATCTAACATTCTAACAACATGCAATGCACCCCATTCAATACATTCCATTCCTACATATCGATGACCAAAGTGCGAAACCAAGTATCTCCATTTGAAACGTCGCAGACTTCCTGGATTGCATTTTGCAAAAAGGAACCACTAGCATTGCAATGTTGCTAAGATTGTGCAACTTCTTTTGTCTTATTGGAGGAAAAACCCGATCATCCCTTAATAGTTTCTATTTTACTTGCTAAAAACTGTAAATTTAAGACAAAAATTACCATCTAAATTTGATAGTTTTTCACAATTTCCGCAATTTTATTGCAAAGGATGAAGTTGCACAATCTTAGCATCATTGCAATGCTAGTGGTTCCTTTTTGCAAAATGCAATCCTCCTGTCATACTTTATTTTTTCTTCGGAAAACTAATTAACGTGATTTTTCTAAAACTTCCATGTATTTCCTTCTCTGTGAGCAGAATATTTTGTATGCATTTTGAACTATAAAATTGGCTTGTTTCATTTCGAAGAAATAAAATAGGAGCGGAAATTCTGGAACACCTCAGTGAAGATAAATGGTTTTGCTTTCAGGACATTGATATCCTACATTCTAACAGGAGGAAATGAGATTTACACAACAAAACTGGCTGGCGGTTCCAGAAACCAAATAAGTGAGCAGCCACCAGTATTTCAAATGTTCGTGTTAGATCAATATAAATCGTTACATTACCTATTCGCATTTTCTAGTGGCTGCAGGTCAGTTTCCGGTGTCACTCTTTCAACGCTAATTCAGGCATATGAATCGTGAGTCGATTCCTCATTCCAGTTTCAAATATTTTACATTGAACCTATCCTCTCTTCCTCTTTCTTTTTTTTTTCAAACGAAATAATCAAATTTGTTACTTGAGGTATTTAATGTGGCCGTTACCTTTTTATGTTCTTATGAATAGAAATAAATTATTTAACAGAATGGAACCAACTCATAGCTTGCTCCTGAGGCTATTGGTCGGTGCTATCTTACCGACTTAAAGCGTTAGGGTTCGTCTCAGCTCTAAGTTATTTTTCTCCGTGTGGACATTGGGAGAATGGTGTAGGCTGCGACCTTGGATAATGAATGATGTAAAATCGAAGTATTACTATTTAATCAAAATCCGCTCCATTTTTGTGTACATTTCCTGAAGTAGTGTACGCGCGCTGCCCTACGCATTTCCAAACAGGGCACAAATTTTGGATCTAGCGAGTTTCGAGGGTCAAGAGCCGAGAGAAGACTAAATAGAATAGCTAAAGGGCGAAACGTGTGATACAACAATTTCGACCTCCAAGAAGGCAAAATGGGCCTGTTGCAAACTTTTGCTAGAGCAAAAATAAGAGTTGTTTCTTATAGATAATGCCTCAAAAATTACGATGAGCGCATCGGCAAAGTCTGAAATGCACTCATAACTTCACAGTCTGCGTAAGAAATTTGCGGTTTTTTGAGCTTCCCGCTTCAAAAACGATACTACGTTACAGGTGAACATTTTGTAAGAGGAGTCGTTCCATCGTCGGCAATACTCATCATGACCGACGCCAATCCGCCAAAACACGTGTTATGGGACGAGATAACACCTGAACTGAATTAGACCAGATAACAATCGGCGTGTTAACGTTCATATTTTCCACGCCCGAATTGATTGACCTTGAACTCTCCTCGAATTACGCGCGGAACTGCGCGCAAGCGTCGATCATGATGAATATCGCCGACGATGGAGCGACTCCTCTAACAAAATGTTCACCTGTGCCGTAGTATCGGTTTTGAAGCGGGAAGCTTAAAAAAACGCAAATTTCTTACGCAGATTGTGAAGTTATGAGTGCATTTCAGACTTTGCAGATGCGCTCATCGTGATTTTTGAGGCATTATCTATAAGAAACAACTCTTATTTTTGCTCTAGCAAAAGTTTGCAACAGGCCCATTGCATATCCATGAAATGAAGGAAAACAAAAACTCTTCTCGGCTGACTCAGAGACTTTGAAGCAGAGTAGAAAAGTTGGATGGGACAAAACACGCGATACAACTATTTCGACTTCCAAGCAGGTAAAATTGCATATCCACGAGATGAAGGAGAACATGGTGTTCCATACCATCCCAACTCTTCCGTTCGTCAAACCCAACTTTCAGTTCGTGTGACCGAACTTACGAGGTTAAGAGAACTTATGGATGAAGTTGGGTTACATGAACCGGGAGTTCGGCCACGTGAAAAAAATAGGTTTTATTCTGAAAAGAGAACGCTCAATGCACTGATTCCCTGATTTTCCTTGAAATTTTTCATTCCTGATTACTCCCGAGTTCCCGGTTATTCCCTGGTAAAAATTGGCAGTAGAATCTGTGTTCTAAAATACTATAAACCTACAGCCGACTGTAAAACTAGATACAGCTTCTATAGCCGGCTATACAATTTCGTATAGCCTTTATGGCCGATGGCGATAAAGCTATTTAGCCAGGCGATAAACTGTACAGCCCGGCGATAAGAACTATACTGCCGTGCTAAGGTAAAACGCCGTATGAGTCTTCAGGCGTTGCCAAATTCCCTTTGATAAAACACGAATAACCTGGTAAACTGATGAATATTTTTCTTCAAATTTTTCAGGTAATTTTGTTCGCAATCTCGCCTCAAGTTCCTGTAAATTTCAAGGACGAATATTCATGACTTGCCCCAAAAATAAACATTTTATCGAAGGAAATTTGGCAACTCCCGATTGTTGCGGCGTTCTTCCGCAGTACGGCAGTAAAGCCTTGCTATAATTTTTTTCTCGCTTCGCACAACCCGGCTGTATGATATTCTTCGCTTTCTACAGCCAGCTATATGATTTTCTGTCGTCTTTTATAGCCGGCTATAAGAATTCCTATGGTCCTTTGAAACGCAGTTCCTATCACCTATTTTCACCAGGGTCCCCGTGCCAGGAAACCATGATGAAGACTGTAAGATGGGCGTACTTTTGCCAAACGGAACTACGTACATTGAGACTTGAGCCCTGAGACCCTTAAAAATATATGCATAACAGGGCTCACGTCATAATGCACATGGTTTCGTTTGACAGAAAGACGTCAAAATGACGCTTACCGAATTATGGACGACGAAATGATCCTCTAGGTCGCTATCCTCGGAATGCTCCTCGGACTTGAGACTGGCGTGGTCGAGGTAGGGCTCCGGGTCGTAGACGGCCAGTTCGCCGGGCTCCTCCTGCCCTTGCGCGTTGAGCATCTTCTTGACTTTGTAGGAGGGCATCAGGAAGGACATGGCCTCCTCGTACTTCCACGGCGGCATCGCCCGCGACTCGTCCAGGCTTCGTTTCTGTCTCCGCCGGTGGAGGGCGTTCGTGAAGCACCGCCGCAGTTTCTCCCATTCCTTCTTCGCCTTGTCCGCTGTTAACATCCCAGAAAACACGACTGAGAATTTTACTCATTGTCAGGGATCGAGTACTATTGTTAGGAGAGTATGCTCATTGCGGTTATCACCTCTGATTCACTCTGCCATCTTAGGCCGGATGCATAGAGAAACAAAAGGAGGTGTTTGCATTTCGGGCATCTTGGAATTTTTTGGTGACTTGATGACGTAGGTGGGTACAGCGTGAAGGGAACGTCGCTGTACCCAACTGTACCCACCTACGTCATCGAGTCATCAAAAAATTCCAAGATGCCCGAAATGCAAACACCTCCTTTTTTTTCTCTATGGGCCGGATGTAGCTTTCTAGGGCCCGAAAATGGCGGATGCTATACGTAAATGTGAGAACAAAATGACTCAAAATGTACACTGATAAGAGGATTGGTAGAATTTATCATTCCTTCACGCTGTATTTCACACAACGTCAATTCAGAGTGAATTCTGCCAGAAGAAAGGTAAACCTCACTAAATACTGGTACAGGTAACCATTCGTCTGACAGAATCGACCTAATTTGAATTCACGCTGTGTGAAATGCAGCGTGAAGGAATGGTAAGTTCTACCAGTATTTTTATTCAGTGTAGCTTTATTTGCATATCACAACGAGGAATTTACTTGAATGCATTATTACGACATATTTACATAGTTTTACTACTGATCGTCTGCTATTTTCGAGAAAAGCCAAGGAAGGTTAGCAGTAAGTGCGGTTGGTGATAACCGTCAAAAGTTGGCAATGACCCCTCCCCCTCTCCCATCCTCAAAATCCGAAATAAAGCGCTGCCATTTTCGGGCCCTTGAGCCCTCCACAAGGCCCAGTGGCCATATACTCCCCCTACTCAGAGATAAAGAAAGGGCCTCTTGGTGACAGGTGGAAACGTTTAGTTTCGGGGATTCACCACACTCTACACGGTGGTTTTCAAGCAAACAAAAATGCGACAAAAATGTACCCAAAAACGGTTTGCACGGGATGAGTCTATGGTACGTGTGGACTTAAAATTGCGGAAAATCAAAATCTAGGCCAATCCTAATTTCTAGATATTGCAATTTGAAATTTTCACAGTAAATGCAAGTTTTCTACTGATTTTGATCCGTATTTCAATTTATTTGACGATTGAATCGGTGTTGATCGGTTCACGGTTTTATATTTCGTTCGATTCATCCCGATCGAATACATACCCTCTCGTTACATGCAGACTTCCTATCATACTTTTTTTTTTTAACTGAAGAATTCGCCTTCGCCTCAGCTTCGGAGAGATCGGGTCCGTAATGATAGAGTGCGTCAGATAATGGAAGTCGAAAATGACATCGTGTTCGACGTCATGACCAAACAACTTGTTTGGTATGGTCATGTCAATAGGATGACGGAAGAGAGGCTGCCAAAAAAGATGCTTGATTGGGTTCCTCCTGGGAGGAGACGTAGGGGACGCCCAGTGAGAGGTTGGCGACAGGGGGTGTTAAATGAGATAAGAGATTGTCAACTCCCTGATGACCTGTGGGAAGACCGAGCTTTGTGGCGATTAGGCGTCGCACAGCGCCAAAGAGCGCTATAAAAGCGACTCATATATATATATTCGCCTTCAGCTGCGTCTGCAGCAATTGTTGCTACGAATATGTTGTGCGTGCTGATTTTCGTTCATTACATACTAGACTCTCTGAAGGCGTTTTTTGTGGACAAGTATCGCAATATGTCGGAGAACAAACGAAGCACGGATTGAGCGATCCATTCAATCTTACCTGTGTTGTTCTCCAACAGGGTGCTCTACTTTCGCACATTAAACGCCTTCAGAGAGTTAAGTATGTAATGAGCGAAGATCAGCTCGCACAACATATTCGTAACAACAATTGCTGCGGACGCAGCTGAAGGCGAGTTAAAATCAACCGTATAGTAAACGTTGAACATTTTCTTAGCTCTTCAATTAATATTGTTACTGATGGAGAGCTGTATTTATTGGTCATTTCATTGGTGATCCCAAAAAATCTTTTCAACATAAATTGAAAAATAAAGTAAGTGTAAATGGAAAATAAAATATCCCGCGCCACAGATTTTTATTCTTGGCGGGAAGTTTAGCCCAAATTCCCCACGAACACTATTACAGAAGCGCCAACACCACAATACTCTTGAAGCAAAAGAAAAATACGACGAAAATGCATCCAAAAACGGTTTACAGGGTCCAAATCTCTGGCACGTTTAGCGTTCCGAGTGTTTGAAAAATGCACTGTAGAGACTCTAACGACTTTGCTCCGACCGAAATCCCAAAACGTCATTTCCATCTATGAATTCGAAACTTTCCTCTACATGTCTTATTATGGCATGGATTTTTCACGATTAAGAGAAATTATTGGTAATACGTCACAATGTTTTACTTAACTCTGAAAGTCTTAAACGTGTTCATGAAATTTAGGGCCTGAAAGCAACCAACATTTTAAAGATCACCTGAATTGCATGGTGATCTCCCTATAGGGAAGCTTATCTATGTAATTCATTTTAGCAATACTTTCCATTTTTAATTAATATCTTAAGCAAACTACGACAACACACCATCAAACCCCCCCCCCCACATACCCTCACACAGTAACAAGACTTTCCCTTGTGTTGTATACTGAATTTGTATATAGCTCTCAGTTTTCTTTTTAAAGTGGACTTCAAAGTTTATTGATTCCTTAGTAAAATTGTGCCAAAACGGTTAAAGGACATTTGGATTACATTTTGCAAAAAGGAACCACTAGCATTGCAATGATGCTAAGTTTGTGCAACTTCATCCTTTGCAATAAAATTGCGGAAATCGTGAAAAAACTATGAATTTTAGATGGTAATTTTTGTCTTAAATTTACAGTTTTTAGCGAGTAAAAAAGAAACTATTAATGGATAATCGGGTTTTTCCTTCAGGACAAAAGAAGTTGCAAAATCTTAGAAACATTGCAATGCTAGTGGTTCCTTTTGGCAAAATGCAATCCATTTTGTCAACGATTTTTTGTCTGAGCGCGCGCCAGTTTTTTCCAGTTGTTTACGCCGACGCGTTTTTTCGGCCAGAGAGTTTTGGTCCAAGTACCAATTGAGACCCAAAGCTAATTGGTCCACATGTACATACAAACGACTATTGCTCACGAAGTTTTTGGATAAGAATGTGTAATGTCTCGGAAGATTGAGGGTTCGCGTGTTCTTTTTTTTTTGTTTTTTTTGTTTATCAAGTCCAACGACGAATAATATATAATTGAGGCTCTTGCTAAAAATGGGGGAGCGCGGAGCGTCAATTCTACGAGGGAAAATTCACTAAAACTCTCAACGACTCTTTGTTGCAACAGGACTTTATTATCTCTCAAGAAATTCCTATATTGTTATACCTGAACCGGAAAAAACCTTTTGATTCGCCTCAGCTGAAGGCTCTGAGATTTTTCCTGTGTACGATAATTTTGCGACGACGCGGCGCCGACGAATTAACCTAGAGTACCTGTATAGGGAGAGTAGCGACAGATCTGAAACTCCGAAAGTCCATCAGGCCTTCACCGATGCCTCCGCGAATAAAGTTAGGGCCCAAAAGGGCAGCCAACCTATGAATTTCGAATGTCCAGAGCGATTTACAAATACAATTGTTACGAACCGTCGTTTAGAAAGCATGTATTTGGTTTACTTTTTGCATAAATTTACTTATTTTTGCGAAAGAACGCTCTTTTATGTACATTTTTAGCCATCTTGGTTAGAATTGAAATCTGTAGGCTGGCAGTGAAATTTTGTGTGTTAGAAGTTGCTCAGAAGGGTGGCTGCACTTTTGGGCCCTAAGCCCTCCATGAACCGATCTGTCGCTACTCTCCCTATACAGGTACTCTAAATTAACCTAACGAGTTAACCTAACGAGTTAACCTAACGAGTTAACCTGACCTAACTCGAGATATTGCACTGTATCATACGAGCTTGAAGGCACCCCAACGTATCATGATTGATGGCATCTTTCAAAAGCACGAAGCTCCCTTGCAAATTAAATCAAGTGCCGACTACAAAAAGAGAGCGGTAGTCGAAAAACGTATTAAGTCCTAGTATCTGTATTTAATAATGTTCAACATGATTTTTGAACTTCATTAGGGGAAAAAGTGCTTTAATTCAAGCATTTTACCGCCGAGAAGGTTTTCTTGTGAAGTATTAAAGAAAATGATGATTGTATAAAGAAGAAAAGATGCTCATACAAGATGAAAAGTCATTTACATCAAGCAGAAACCCGCTTTCATTCAGCGATTTTATTCTTGATTCAAAATAATTTTTTCCTGACGGCAGCATCAAGAATGTCTCTGCCTGAATCAAGTCACTTTTTCTCTAATGAAATTCAAAAATTATGCTGAACGTTATTAAATACGGATGCTAGGACTTAGTGAGTTTTTTGGATTACCGCCCTCTTTTTGCCCTGTAGTATATTGATTTATTTTGCGAGGAAAGCTCCACACTCTTATAGGATGCCGGTCATTATTAATATGCTGGAGCGCCTACAATTTCGTATGATGTTGTGCAACACCTCTGTCGCGAGATAGTTGCTTGAAGCACCGTGGCGTGGCGGACAACAAACGAGACACCCGCATGGGCGCCTACAAACCTAACATGATACTCCACGCATTGCGCAATGCGTGAAGTATCCTGTTAGGTTTGTAGGCGCCAGCTCGGGTTCTGCGCTGGCAGCGCGTGCCGCTTGATTACAGATACTCCACGCTGAATGACCCACTAAGAGAGATATTCTGGTCAGAGAAGTTCTTCGGGTGGTTAAAATCTGGCTAAATAATGCTTGTATAAAGAAGAATAGATGCTTACACAAGAAGAAAAGTCACTTACATCAAGCAGAAATCTGCTTTCATTCAGCGATGTTATTCTTCATTCAAAATAATTTTTTCCTGACAGCACATTCAAGAACGATTCTGCCTGAATCAAGTCACTTTTTCTCTAATGACATGCTAAACCTTATTAAATACGGATGCTAGGACCAACTGATTTTTGAACTACCGCTCTCTTCTCGTACCGTAGTATCTTGATTCATTTTGCGAGGAAAGCTCCGTACTCTCAAAGGATGCCTGACACTCATATGCTGGAGCGCCCTCAATTTCGTATGATACTGTGCAACTCCTCTGTGGTGAAATAGTTGCTTGCGGCGCCGTGGCACGCTGCGGCGCGGCAAGCGCGCATTGGCGCCTACAAACCTAAGGAGATACTGCAAGCATTGCGCAATGCGTGAAGTATCCCTGTAGGTTTTGTTATATCTCAGGATTTTTTGCGGATTTTTTTGAGAAAAGTTCATTTGAAGTTGGCAACCTCGAATTAGCCCTATGTTAACAGTGTAAAAGCAACGCGAAACACCCGAAATTTAACTTCAAATATCTCTGATAGTCGTAAAAATTCGCAAGATCTTTTTGATGGAATTGAAGTTGGATATCTGAGGATTAAGAAAATATCATGCATCTAGAGCGTTTCAAGCGAGAAATCTTTATTTGAAGTTGACTTCTATTTCCCGTGTGTTTCTTATGGACCATTGATTCTCGACCCATTTCCAGCCCACTTTCTACCCACATTTGAAGTAGTTTTGAGCGAAAAATTTGAAAATGAACCATTATTGTGAGCCAGAAATATCATGAAGATAACGAACGCCAAAAAAAAAAAATTAATCAGTTGTCGAGTTGTGAATTTTTTATTTTTGTCCACGGCGTCACGCCGCTCCGCTCTGTGTTGGGCTCTAATATTTAAAGTCGCGAAGTCAGCGATTCTCAACTCATGATTTTGAAATGTTTGCACACTCTACATGGATTATTCTCATTTAAATTGATGAAAACAAATATGTATTAAAGGAAAATATGATGTGTGTTTCGTAAATTTTAAGGTTCTTCCGTGTCAAATTCAATGATTTCTAAAGTTTTTGAATTTTTTCTTTTATGTTTCGTGATTTTATAGTGCTGCAGCAATAATCGTAATTGAAATCATTTTATCCATAGAATGCCTTGAAAAAAGCGATACCGTACATTTTTGAGTGCATTTGGACTAAATCCAAGAAGAACGTCCCAAGTTGCATTTCAGAAAAAAAATTATTAGAAGCCTTCTTGGAGATTCCTCTGATTAAAAATTAAAAATTGAGAAAAAGTATTTCGGACATTAAAATAGTCGTTAAGCTTTATATTGAGACTTAAGAGGGAATAAAACTTCGAACTTCTTCTTTTCGGTTCAAACTACTATGACTTGGTGCGATTCAATTAAAATCGGTGTTCGTATCAGTCTTTGCTACAATAGATGGTCAATTCCTTGTTCTCTTCACGATAGGTTGTAACTGCATTTCAATGTTGCAAAATTTTCCCCCTCAAATTGCATTTTCACTCGGAGAATCTTGGCTATTCTAACTAAAAATTTCTCTGACTTTTCTTCTGATCTCGTGCTATGATCATTAAAATTTTGGGGGAAAATTGCACAGGTATATTCATGTAAAAAATTGAACTGTTCGAGTTAACTTTGCAACTCTCGAATGGAGTCACGTTCTTTCGTCGTGTTGAACGACGAATTGGACGTATTCTGTCAAACGGAACTATGTGCACTCAGATACGAGCCCTGAGACCCATAAGAATATATGCATGACAGGGCTCACGTCATAATGCACATAGTTCCGTTTGACAGACTTACGTCCATTTATCGCTTACTTGTCACTTGGCCGAGAAAAATTGGCAATTCTTTCGATTGTTTGGACCGCGTAAAGCAAAAAGATACCAAGCAACATCAGCTATTGCCAAATGGACGTATTTCTATCAAACAGAACTATGTGCAGGTGAGAAATATGGGGTGTGCTCTAGAAAGCTGCATAAGAAACAATGTTAAAGAGGGCGTGATTCCTTTTGAAGAATTGGAAAAGCGGGATATTACATTCTATCAAACAGACCTATGTGCCTACTGAATGCGGGATTCATGAGCCTTGGGCATGGCAAGAGAGCGTTGTGGACAGGGCTCATGAGTTAAAGACTCCGCACGAGCCGCACACGTCGACCCTGATCCCGAATCTGTCACCGCTGACGTCACTGGCGCTTTATTATTCTCATTCACTCTCACGCAAAGAGAACTAACGAGCACACCCCAGATTTCTCACCTCCACATAGGTCTGTTTGGTAGAAATACGTCCAAATTTAACTGAAAAATTTAATTTTTGACATAAGAACGGTTGTTCAGTTTTTATTTGCAAGTTTCAGTGAATTTTCTGCATAGTACGAGGCAAATTCCTTAAAATTTTCAAAGGAATCCGCATAATCGCTCTCTTAGAAAAAATTAAATTTCCCAGTTTTTGGTAATAGCTGAGAAGCTTGGTTCCAGTCTGCTAAGCCCAATCCATTTTTAGTTTTGAGAGGAAACTTACCCCCGACTCCAAGTTCCTGGCCGATCTCCTCCCACGCGGCAAGTCTCTTCTCGTTGACTCGGTAGTCGGGATCTCGGACATCGTACAAACAGATCCGTTTGCGGACCGCGCCGATGAGTCGCTCCTCCATGACGTCACTCGCGAGCTCCTCACATGAAGAACCGGCGCCAACTCCTAAACCGGTTCCGGAGCCTTCGAGCTCCTCCGGTAGCCGCGAATCGAATCCAGCGAGGACCAGTTCCTCTACACCCGCGGTCGGCAAGGCAAACGATCCTCTCTCACTGATTCGGACCGAAAAATTGGCAATTCCAAGGTACACTCAAGCACGTCCACATGGAGTGAAACAACCCAATCTCATAAAGAAAGAAACGATTCGAATGTAGTTATAAACACTCAAGAATCGGTCTGAAGTCCACTAGAGAAACATTGGATTCCGAAGGAGTCGTGGTAAACAGAGGGTGTACACTTTAAAAAAGGCGCTCTTTATTGTGGAGAAGCGACCGATTCACAAAATGAATAAAAACACTCAAGGTCGCAAAAGCACGTAAAAATTGGCTCGAAAACGCGTGGAAATTGGCGGGAAACACTCGGAATAACAGCGGATTCAGAGGGAGGCGCGGTAGACAGAGGATACACTGCAAGACGCTCTCCGCCGTGGCAAAACTATCGATTCACACTACGAAAAAAACACTGGAAATGTCGCAAAAACACATAAAAATTGGCGCGACACACTCGGAATAGACAGCAAACTCTGTAGAAGTTGTGGTGGATAGAAGTACTTGAATTTTCTCCACAAGGGTACTCACTCGTGGAGCGAAAATACCGAGTCACGCTACGAAAAAAACACCTGAAATTCGCAAAAAAAAATCTATCAAAATCGCCTTGAAAACGCGAAAACTGGCGCGAAACACTCGGAACGAACTTTAGAATCGATAGAAGAAGTCTTGGATTCAAGTACTTGATTTCCCTCCACAAGGATGCTCTCTCGGGGGGTGAAAATGCCAATTTACACAATGAAAAAAACCCTTTGAGAGTCGCCAAAATACCTAAAAATTGGCTCGAAAACGCGTGAAAATTGGCGGGAAACAGTCGGAATTAACAGCAGAATCCGAGGAAGTCAAGGTGGATGGATTTACTTGAATTCCCTCCACAAGGATGTTCTTTCGCGGGGCGATGATGTCAAATCACAAAATGAAAAAAAAAACCTTGCTACATCCAAAAAACACCCCAAATCGTCTGGAAAACGCGTGGAAATGGGAAAGGAGCCCGCGGAATGGAGAGGGAATCCGCGATGAAGCTCGGCGTGCCACGCGGACGGTGTCGCAGTCGTCGTGGGTTGCTCAACTCACGAAAGAGCACTGCTCGGCGAAACGTGCCGCGTCAGGGCAGCGTGCGGTAGCGTGTCGGTGTGCCGGTCACGTGACGTCACACGTGAGTAGGGTGCGGGGGACCGGGGGGAGTCGCGATCGACGGGTGACGGGCTCCGAGCCGCGGACCGCGCTGCCGGACCGTGCGCGCTTTTCGGAACCCCCCCCCCCCCCGGCACCTCATCGCCGCACAGTGGAACCACCTCATAGAAGACAGTGATCCGATATTAAAGCCCTTGCGGGTAAGAAAAAAATCCCTGGATTTCGCTATAAATCCCTAGATTTCGCTAAAAATCCCTAAATCCTCAGATTTACTCAGAAATCCCCCAAAAATCCCTAGACTTTGCCAAAAAGCGCCATTTTTAACGTAGAATCATGACGTCATTCGATAAATGTTCAATATTGAAATCTGATTGGCTCGTTTGAATTTTAGCGCTCTCTAAAAGCAGTGCTAGTGACAGACAAAAAAATCCCTAGATTTTGCTACAAACCCCTAAATCCCCAGATTTGCTCAAATATCCCCAAAAAATCCCTAGATTTTTTCAAAAACCGCTATTTATCATGTAGGATCATGACGTCATTCGATATATCGATTTGTAATAAAGAAATCTGATTGGCTCGTTTGAATTTTGCCACTCTCTAAAAGCAGGGACAGTGAAAGACAAAAAATCCCTAGATTTCCCAACGAATCCCCAGATTTCGCCACAGATCTCTTAATCCCCAGATTTGCTCAAATAATCACAAAAAATCCCTAGGATTTGCAAAAAAACGTCATTTTTAACGTAGAACCATGACGTCATTATATATCGATTTGTAATGAAGAAATCTGATTGGCTAGTTTGAATTTTGCCGCTCTCTAAAAGCGGTGCCTAAGCATTGCTAAAACAGACCGATAAAATGAAAGAATATTTGTTGATTTTTCATTATTGTTTTTTTTACTGTCGAATGTCAAGTATATCGAGTGACGCAATCGTTTCTGTTCCGGCTTAAAAACGAAGAAAATAGTGTTGTCATAAGGCCTACAAAATGTAGATGAAAAAATATTTTAGCTAAAATTGAGGTTAAAAAGTCGTATTTGCTTACTTTTACCTCGTCAAAAAAAATCCCTAGATTATGTCTGCAAAATCCCTAGATCCCTAGAAATTCCGGGGAATCCCTATACATCGGGTTACTGATTGAAAAGGCCGGACTTGCACTTTTTTAAGCTAAGATTTCAAATTTCATCAAGAATCTCATTTCAAAGAATGTTACCTAGAGTAAACTTCACAAAAAACCAATAAAACCTTACCAATACTTCTTTTTTAATAAAGCAATCGGAATTCTTGTAAACAGTAAAAGCTATTGTATTAAAACTTTCGAAAAATTCAGAAAACTCACGCTTTCACTTAATGATTATTTATCGAATAAATCAATATCGATAAATAATCATTACGTGAAAGCGTGAGTTTTTTAAATTTTTCAAAAGTTTTAATAATCCCTCTTTGTTTCCAATTTTCGAAAATAAATATGTAAGCTATCAAAAATCCCAGATTTTGTCCGACTTCAACTGTAACCGGTCTAGTGTGCGGCGCTCACGCCTCGGTGCGGATGGGTGTTGCGTCATTGTCGCCGTAGCGTTCGGACATGGCCGTGGCGAGGGGAATGAGTCGGGTTTTTTTGTGCGGCGGAGCTGGATCTGCGAAAGCTCGGGTCGATGGTTCAACTGGGAAATGTGTATCGCACGTAGGAAAAAGTGGACTTTTTTTCTTTACGACGTGCTTTGGAAGAATGATCAAAAATTTCTAAATTTACGAACTGTTTGTCGGGAGGAGGGGGAGGCAATTTTTCGTCGAAAGGATTTTTTTGAGAGTGAAAGAAGCGTGACTTTGATATCGATTACAAATCAACATTATTTGAATTTAGAAAAAAAGGAAAATGGCCGAAGGGTTCGAAAATTTTCAAACATGTACCAATACGCAATTTGAGTCAGTTTCGTTATGAATAATTAACAGATGGACATATTTATGCTGAAAGGAACTATGTGCACAGGGTTTACGTGAGACAGAGTTCCTTTTGGCATAAATACGTCCAAATTTGAGCGTCTCTCCCTCTTCTTTCCTCCTTTTTTCTTCGTCCCTTTTTCCCACTCTTTCTTGAAAGATTGATCAAGAGAAGTCTCGTTTATTTTCCTGGGAGGAGGGGGGAGGGCTACTAAACTAACGTCGGGAAAAAGGGCGTTCGGAAATTCGATTCTTTGACGTTCCGTTTTCAATAAACGGGTCATTACCAATAAAATGAATCAACATCGTATGGATTACATTTTGCAAGCAGGAACTACAATTTCCGGCTCAGTGTGGAAACAACGCACGTTCTATCAGTTTCTCCGTGCACATAGGTGTTTTTACGGACGAGCCAGAAACTGTAGATCCTAATTGCGGAATATGATCGGCTTTATCAGTGATTAACCAGGTTCATTCGACATCGCTGCTTAGGTGCCGGTTCCACGGGCCCTAAAGAAACAGGCTCCTGGCCTCCCCCCCCCCCCCCCNGTCACGCTAAAAAAGTCGGATCCTTGTCCTCCGCGCTCCGCGAGAGTCCCGTGACTACGCGACGGGCGCATGCGATCACGTGACGCGTGACGTCACAACCAGTGATGTCACGTCGGCAAGTGCCCGATACTGTTGCGAAAAAGAGCCGTAAGTGGACTCTGGGATGAGCCTTGAGACACGGCAGAGCATGCGCTAATCGTGGCTCACACCAGTGGAGTGGCGTGTTTTACGATACATCGATTGATTTGCCATTTAAACCTGTGGAAAAGTATCGATGAACAAGTGTTCGCAACGAACACCTTAATGATCGCTTCTTTATCATAGCTTCAAATGGGAAAATATCGATAATCGATCATTCACACTTCGCCATTGGCTCATACTCATAGCAACTGCGGCTCTTTTTCGTAACTTGGCAGACGTGGACATGGCCGTGGTGACGTGAGCTCCCCCAAGATGATACGGAGAGTGCCCTTCCTCTGCTCATACGTCATCAGTTATCTGTGATAACGATACGCTATAGCATGTAAAGGAAAATCGCCGTTGTTGGAGCATTCAGATTTCGCCAATTTTTTTGCGATGGATCATTTGATACCGAGGAAATTTCCCTCGAAATATCCATACATTAAGAAAAAATGTTTAAAAAATATTAAAAGAGACTTTTTTAGAAATTTTGCATATTTTCGGATGAATTTTGACAACGTCCTCTGAGCAAGACAGTTCTCAGCATTCAATATTTGAATGTTTTTATTAGAAAACGAAATGTATTTACCTGACTTGAATGTATGTTGAATAGAAATAAAAGTAACTTGGAAGTTATACGTTCAGAGGTACGCACGTACTTAGTACCTATGATTTACGTCCTTCAATGCTCCTTTTAACAAATGGAGAATTTGCACACAAAAATTTTATTGCTTTATCTAAAAGTGTTTAATGAGCCGAGTTCGCAGTATTTTTCATAATTGTTTTCAGACATGGGAAATCGGAGAAAACTTGATTTAAAAGTGAGAAAATATTGTGTCTTATGAAGTCATCTGGCGGCATTTCCCGTTTAAACACATGTATTTAAGCAGAATCGGCTATTTTGTCATATCTTCTCTGATAATTGCTCAATTTATGAATCAAGGGTGTCTTCTTGTTCAGTTAACTCAGTAGATTCCAATTAAACACGAAATTAATCAAATTTCAGACCCTTGCAAATTCTCCATTCATCGTTCATTTCAGCATGCATTTGTCCGTTCGAGTGTGAAAAAGAACGCATTAGAGAATTATTGTATGAAATCGAGCTAATCAATTTAGTGACACAGTCGTGAGGTATGTTGAAAACTACACTTTTTGAATGAAGCGTCGATATCGACCAAAATATGACAAAAATTTGCTATTTTATTCGAGGATGGAGACCATACATTTCACTGGTCATATCGCTTTGCTTAGATGGACTTGAATCAACAATCAAAATATACCGGTATTTTGTATCATTTTAAATAAGAATAATGACTTTTACTCAATTGTGTGGGCTGAATGGACGCTATGATAAAATGATCGCACTGCGTTCGGAAGCAGCATCAAATTTCCGACCTTTCCTTCTTCTGAATCGTATTCATGCATAAAGGTACGTTTCTCGAACCTTTATTTCTTAAATGTTCCAACATCTTTTTAAGGAAAAAAGAAATAAAATATTGAAAGTAATGATATAGAATAAGATATCTTCAACGGTAATTGAAGCTAAAATATGCGTTAATAAATCGTATACAGTCTTACTTATTCGCCAAGTAAAGATGTTAAGTTAACACAAATATGTATGCATCTGTCTGAGGCTTCCTAAAATAAACATCCCTTGTTCTAAGCTTCAGTTTACAAATTTTGAAGTAAAATTTTCGAAAAAACCTGCTCAACTGAAACAAGATTCAGCTAACTCTTAAGCTGGTTTATTTCTTTAAGAGCTCCTATCAAAATGCTGGAGGTGTACCACCTTCCCTAATTTTCTTTCCAAAACATATTAGACCTTTGCCATATTGTTTACCACACAGGAGAATTGCAAGTCGAAGCAGCTTGTTTGCTCTTTTTGTGTAGAAATTTCTAAGGATGATCACCAAATTAAATAATTTTGCCACAGAACCTTCTCTCGGCTGCAATGCGAGTGATACAGGAAAAAATTATAATATCCAAACAGTTGTAGGAACATTTTGTTTATTAGTATAATCAGTTTTTCTATCCATACATTATCATTGATCATTTCAAGCGTGTACTAAGTGTTTACAGGTCATGGATTGATAATAATTAATCTTAACTCCTCGCAAAGGATTACAATAATTTAATGTTAGAACTGTTTTTATTTGCTTGTTTTCATGTTGTTTCTTAATTCATTCCATTTTAATCAAAGAATCTTCTCACAATCTACGGAATTTAAAAAAAATAAACGAGTTTTGCAATACATTGATACACGTACATTTATGGGTGGTATTTGAATCAAAAATAAAAATTATTACTTTGAAAATATTACACTCATAAAAAGGAAAGAAAATTATAAAAATTTAATATCTTACTTAAAAGAAATAAAAATGAAACGAAATGGAAAACTTTCTCCGATTCATTCCAGTTATACACAAATTTTTCGAATTTTATACACAAAAAAAATTCCTTGAGAATAGTTTATTCTTATTACTGCGAGGAGCAAGTTGGTAAATAATTGTCCAATTCATTAAATATTGTTGCAGCAATCACACACATTTTGCATAATATTGTTCTTCATCTCATTTTTTTCTCCTCAAACATTCCCATAAATCGACCTTTCGACGATATCGGGAATTATTTTGACAATACGAAGGCGATTATGTGATCCGCTCGACTCTGCGAGTCAAAAGTCAGTGCTTTCAGTTTTTTTTTATTCTGTAACTTTGGACTCATCAACTTAATCAGTCAAATACAATCATAAAACTAACAAGTTAATACTGTTGAGAAGGGAACTTGGGCCAGTGTCCATGAGACCCATCGGTCAAATCATAACGCATTACAACATGGAGAAGCACACCAAATCCTCAGAACCGAATTTAGTCATCAAAGGCAGCGTGGAAATATGACTTCAATTTCTACACAGTGCGACACACATCATTTTGGTCAACACAGATTCTGTCACTCGTATTTTTCGCAGAAACATTATTTTCATTGTCTCAGTGTACAAAACCGGCTAAAACAATCTCCTCTCCTCTTGAAATTCCTCCGTCTATACGTCGTCTATTGGTTCGCCCGTCCTGCCCCTTCAAATCTGGAAACCGCAATACATTCGTCAACCGAGAATCCTTCGCTCGGCCAGAATGACGTCACCTGGGCTCACGAAGTTTGAGTGAAATTCCTGTTCCGACCCTCGACGAAAGCGTCACTGTACCGATGGCCAAGTCGAAAAAAACGTTCGCTTTTTCAATAGTGCACGGGGTTGTTGGATGATATGGGCGTTTCCAATTAATTGTGTGATAGTGCCTGAATTAATTGTGATAGTACCTTAATATATTAGGCTACTAACCCAAATGTTGCGGTACTACCACACTTGGACGTATTTCTGCCAAAGGAACTATGTGAATTAAGACATGAGTCCTGAGACACAAGGAATATGTGCATAAGAGGGCTTACGTCATAATGCACATAGTTCCGTTTGATAGAAATACGTCCAATTAATTAGAAATACCCATATCATCGAAAAAATTGGGGTGGTACCACAATTTTAGGGAATAACCCCTAACACTTTTTCTCGCATGTTGATTCTCTTGTCCTGCAAAGTTAGTAACGTGCTCCTAGAATTGGTCATCATGTTCAAATCAACTGACGCACCCATTGACGTTATTTTTCTCTGCAAAAACCAAAGAAAAAGACTGTCTTGAGACATTGTTTTGAGGCGTCATCCGGATGCACTTATGCTAAAAGGAACTATGTTTCGGGCAAACATGGATACAAATTTTTATAGAGCAGCCCTAGACAATGGTAACAATAGAAAAACAAGGGGGGAAACGGGAAACAAGGCTAAAATACACAATTTAAAAAAAAAAAAAAACCGAGACGTTCCGACTCAAACCTGAGTCATTTTCAGTCGGAAATGTTACAATAAAAATTTTAAAAAAAACGATGAAAATGATTTACATGGATTTACCACGATTTACATGGTGGTGGCCGGGATCTGAGACAAAAAAACGACGATTTTTTTTTTTTTTTTTTTTTTTTTTTTTTTTTTTTTTTTTTTTTTTTTTTTTTTTTTTTTTTTTTTTT